TGGTTGCCTTCAGTTGACTGCAGTGAGTTTTGTTTGCGTGTGAGAGAGGGGGGAGAGGTTGTTGGGTCATGTTAGCCATATTATTTTGTATGCTGTTGGTGGGTTCCTGTTGTTGTCTTGTTGGGCTGTGTGTGTAATAAAGGGGAGCCACACCAGGGTGAAGGCGTCCTCTTTTATTTGTTCCTGTGCCAGTTTCAGTTTGTTGGTTAGGTTTTCTAGTAAGCATAGCTGTCAACCTTCCCTTTTTTTGCGGGAAATTCCCTTATTCCAGCGCCGTTTCCCGCTGCTATCTTGGATTGTTAGATATTCCGTAGACTGTCCCTGGGACTGGTGAGGCTGCTGATCCCTTATTTTCAAATCTGAAAGTTGACAGCTATGTCTAGTAAGGCTGTTTCCCATACAGTTTGGTACTAGTGGTCCATGTTCACTGCTGACAGATCCCTCCAGCATCTAGCTAGGGTGCTCTTGGCTGCTGAGAATAGGTGGCTTATGAGCTCTTTGTAGTGTGAGTGTACATGGCATGCTTTACTTAGGGCCAAATTCCAGTATTTTGGTGCTTTTAAAAAAAAGATACGGGACGCGGGTGGCGCTGTGGGTAAAAGCCTCAGCGCCTAGGACTTGCCGATTGAAAGGTCGGCGGTTCGAATCCCCGCAGCGGGGTGCGCTCCTGTCGCTCGGTCCCAGCGCCTGCCAACCAAGCAGTTCGAAAGCACCCCCAGGTGCAAGTAGATAAATAGGGACCGCTTACTGGCGGGAAGGTAAACGGCGTTCCGTGTGCTGCGCTGGCTCGCCAGAACAGCTTTGTCACGCTGGCCACGTGACCCGGAAGTGTCTGCGGACAGCGCTGGCTCCCGGCCTATAGAGTGAGATGAGCGCACAACCCTAGAGTCTGGCAAGACTGGCCCGTACGGGCAGGGGTACCTTTACCTTTACCTTAAAAAAGATACAGCAGTGGAGGAGGGGCGATGCTAGAGTTTGGGATCACAGCAGGTAGGGATTAGGAATATAAACAGAGCCTTCTTGCTGTGGTCCTGATGAAGAAGACTCGACTGTACCTGCCATTTGCATTTAGAAGAAAGCTTGGCAAAGTTATTTGCTTGTATACTAGGGATGCACACATGTGCCTAAATCCATTCTGACATTCGTTCTCATCAGGTATTTTCCCTTCTGCCACACGTCTCTATTCCGTTTTGTTGTCCAGTGATGTGGAAATACACTTTGTTTTTTTACATGTATCATAGCTCACAATGAGTGTGTGTATCTATGCCGTCAAGAAATGTTTACAAATGAATTACTCCCCCATAGTTAATGTATTAACAGAGGGGAGCCCTGTTAGTCTTTTTCAGCAAAAGAAACAGATAGTCCTATGAAACCTTAAAGACGAAGTTAACGGGGGTGGGGGGGAGTGTAGAAAATAACTCTGTTATTATTCTATGTGTGATGGGGTGAGATCCTACCTTGGGACTGATACTAAGCTGGTAGCTGCAAGTGACCCTGTTATCGCTATAGGAAGAGGCAAGTCAAAATGTGTTTCTGCAAATTGATTTGACCGTGTCTGTGAAAATACGCACCTGCTAATCTGAGAAGCCGAGTATGTCATAAGCACAGGATTTCTCTGTGCTCCTTGTGTACAGAAAGCAGATATGACAGACCAGGATTTAGAAATAACAGGATTAAAGAGGTGGGTACATTGTAATTTCCCGGGATTACCTTTCAAGTTTGCATATTGCTGGAATATGGGTAAAATTCCTCAACGCTTGTTTTGCTTCTTAAATGATGTGTAATAGAAAATGAAAGCAGAATAATTTAGTCCAGTTCGTTTAAAATAATACAGAAAGGCTGACCTCTGTCATTGAACTGCTATGCACATTGATGATTTTTATGAACTGGAAGCCAATTCCACCTTCCCACATTATCAAATAACCTCATCAAAAGTTAAAATACCCTCCTCCCAACCCCACCTAAATTTGCATTTAGATTGTTTGGTGCCAACATTCTCAATAAGATACTTTTCAGCTCTGTCAAACAAAACCTGATTGTCATTTAGCGCAGTGGCAGTCGATTTACATTTCCATTAACGTAGATCCCAGACAATTATCGGAGGAAATAAAAAAAAAGAAAAAGAATCTTATAAAAACCAGCTTTCTGTCTGCAGTTTTTATGGAGCCCGGAAGTCGATAAAGAGTCGCTCTTATCATCCCAGGAATGGCCGTCACAAAGACGAGGCTCCTCTGAATGAAAGGAGTTTGTAGAGGAGACACTGGCGATGATGCACAACAAAGAAAGCTGAGCAGGATGTCAGTCTGCAGGAGAACTGGGTCCGCAAACAGAGACAGGCTGAGAAAGGTTAGTCTAGGTCAAAGGGTGAGAGTGAAGGTCCTAAGGCAAGGGCGAAGGAGCTGGAAGAGGCTCAGAATCAAGACTGGGTACACAGTGAGCAGGAGGCAAGGGTGATAAGACCTTATACTGTATTGGCCCGAATATAAGCCGCACCCGAATATAAGCCGCACCTTTAAAATTCAAAGGGAAAAAAAGACAAAAAGGCAATACCCGAATATAAGCCGCTCCCTTAAAATTCTGCAGGCACTCACACCTGTTCCGTTTTACCGTATGTCTGTTTCAGAAGCAATACCATAGAAGCCAATATTTGTAAGGTCGTGAATTTAAGCCGCACTTTTAACTTTTTCACGGTCGGAATTTGGAAAAAGAAAAAGGTGAGGCTTATATTCAGGCCAATACGGAAAGTGTCATGAACACACATTTTCTGCCCTGGGAATTATTTATTAATTTAATAGCCTGCCCTTCACCAGCTGGCCTCAGGGTGGGATACCACAATTTAACATTCAGAACTAAAAAAAACCCCACACAGTTAAAACATATTGCATTCACGAGAATAAGGTAGGTCTTGAAAACACACCATGGAATAAAGACCATGGAATGTACTGGTGTATGTGTTCAAATCACCTTCCTCACACTTTTGATGGTTTGTTCTCCCCCAGGCAGGAGCTGCAAATCGAACTGTAAATATTCTGAAAATAATTTAAGGATCTAGATGGATGTCTGCAATGCGAGGAATGGGGGTTCCCCCTCAAACTGTTATTATGCACTGGCTTTCTTGCTAGTGTACAGATCATATATTTGACTTGGCACGGAGTAACCCACCATTACCTCTGCCAGTTTTGCCATGTTGTAAAGAGCCGCTGAGGTCAGGAAGGGCTCAAGGAACTGTGAAAAAACCACAAATGCCGGATCTTTTTTCCAGGAAAGTTTAGAAATAGGCATAGTGTACTTTTTGAAAACAAACTGGAATGTGCCGAGAAAAAATAAAAAGACTTCAAGGCTCTCCAATCCCTGGAAGCAAAGCTCTGCAAACTAACTGCATCCAGCTTCAGTTTTCTTGTTGAAGTCTCTGTGTGTAGTCTCTACACCATAGAGCCTCTTACTTTTTATACTGCTGTGTGACCTAGTTTCTCTCTCCAATGCATAACATTCCCAAGACATTTCCTAGAATAAACCCCCTAGGTCCAGACATGTGAAATGGCTGGTGTCTTGTAGTGAATCCTATGAAGTTGACAGTATCCCTTCACAGAGGCTGCTCCCGCAAATCGCACCAAGGAGAATTTTCCCGGTGTAAACACCTTCCTGAGCTACCCTATGGATGCTAAATGGAGCATTGATGGTGGCCCCAGGATGTTAGTCTAATCCTCGGGAACAATTTTAACAGGCTGATACTGACGGGGCTCTGGCCAGATGTGCAGAGAAATGAATAGAATTTAAAAGGTAGGCATTCATAAATATGCCTTACGTGCACCATCCAAATAAATCTGAAAAGAAATTGGGGAGGAAAGAGAGCTCGGTGGTAGAGCCTCATGATTTGCATGCAGAAGGTTCTAGGTTCAGTCCCTAGTTCCAAGGATCAGGCAGCAGGTGATGGTTGCATTTGTGTAGATTAAGAGCTGGACTGGCCAATGCCATGATTTGAACAAGTAAACTTCAAGAGCAATGAGACCCAAGTATTACAGAATGCAACCCTTTGCAAGAAAATTTGGGTGTGGATTTTTTTTTGCAGCTTACCTTTGGAATAACTGGATCAAGTTCACATATAACATCAAGTCATGATTTGGTGCTACATAGCTGAGCGCTGGGCTCACATACTTTTGCTTCCTCTCTCCCCTCCTGCTGTGTGTGCCTCTTAATTTAGGGAAGTTTAGGGAAGTTTTTAATATTTAATTCTGTATTTTTAACACTCGATTGGAAGCCGCCCAGAGTGGCTGGGGAAACTCAGCCAGATGGATGGGGTATAAATAAATTATTATTATTATTATTATTATTATTATTATTTATTTATTTATTTATTTTATTATTTTGTGACTTGCTGGTTTGCAGCAAAGCATGATTTTGCCAGTTCATCCAAACTGGAAAACTCTGCAGATTGGACCAAAACATTTTGCTGCCTGAGGTAAAGGACAAGATCATGCCTCCTCCCATTACATCTTCAAAGGCTGTCCGGACTGGTAGTTGAATCTTACTTCAACACTGGTAACAGGGCAGCATGTCACTGCATCTGAGGGCAGCAGACTAGCTTAAGAGGCGCAAGACAGGCCAGGCAGCACACTTGGCTTGTCTACTCCTCACTCGTTAGCATCTATCACCTGAGGTGGTGGCTTCATTCTGCCTAATGGTAGAGCCGGTCCTGAAACTATGGCTTGGGTTTGCCCTGAAAACAAAGATCAAACCAGGGTTTGATTCGGATTTACAACCTTGGTTTGATTATGCAAACCATAATTTGCTGGTTCCGATGTAAGGGCAAACAATGGTTTGCCACAAATCAGGAATGCAACTGAGGAGCATGAGAGCAAAAATCCTGGCCCTGTATCACCATAGAATGATTTGGTGTTTCATGCACAAACAGGCCGACCCATTGGGCCTTTGACTCTTATTTTTTCAATATCTATTGCTCTCTATTCAATTAAAAAAAGAACCACACGTATTCATTTGGGTTACATTAATGGTTATTTTATTTAAAGGATGAGAAACACAGTAATTGCAGTTCATTTGTACTCATAATAACCATTGATGTTTTTTCAAAATTGTATGTTAACATCCATGTGTAACAAAAACCATTTTTTTCCTGAACTGTGCAAAGTACAAAGGGTTTGTTCAGTTAGCAGAAACCTTCTCCAGTACAACAAACCTGGCATTTTACAAAACAAGGCTGCCAGGACAATTCTGTTCATTTTCTGTCTTAGGAAACGCACACATGCGTGTGCACACACTCCCCCCTCCCTCCCCATGCTTCCTGTCCTTTGAATGCCATTTATCAACATGGACCACCGGAAGAGCTAATACTTTCCACACAGAGGTCACTATCCAGAATTCCTGCCTTGTCTTTTGCATTCTGTGTTTGTGCTACATACGTGAAACTGATCCACTGCTACAGGAGACTTCTCCAAGCTACCATGATAGATGAGAGCTAAGACCTGTTGTTCAAATGTTGTTGGAGCTTCAAACAGTCAAAGAAACTCTTAATCCTCAGAGGAAATGTGAGCGATGGGTTTTTAAGCATCAAATGCTGGGATTGGAGTGAATGTGGTGGCACCAGTGGCGGAGCTTCATGCTCCAGCACCGGGGGGGGGGGGAGAGCAGGCGTGGCATGGCTGGCATGCACCCCGGGGGCATGGTGCGCCACCTGAGGGGGCATAGTGCCCAACGCGGGCAGGGGGGCAGCTCCGATGGCACCCCACTGGGATTGTGCTACCGGGGACGGTGCGCTCTCCCCGCCCCCCTCTTCCTCCGCCAGTGGGTGGCACAACCTTTAAAAATACTGAATTCAGAAAAGATGTGTTTGCAAGTTGTTGCATTTTGTCCTAGTGGAGTTTGTGGATTATGGATTAACACCTTCATACAGAGATGTGCAAAAGCTTTTTGGCAAAACAACAGTGGCTATAATATCCCTGCCAAAGGGTGATGATTCCTTGGTGTTGCTGTTGCGTGAATGGCTGGCTGAATACACTGTGCAAGAGCTAAGATCCTTTGCTACTCTATATTCTGAGCACAGCAAAGGAACCAATTCTAGATAAGGGGTGGCCTTGTTTATCAAAGAACAAGCAACTGTAGGTGCATGCATGGACATCTGTGTGCCTAGGAAGATTTGCACCTTTTTTCTTTGAACAGCAACCCTACTCCAATAAATTGCCTTTGATGCTCTCCTCGGTTTCAAGAGTGGTTTACCATACAGCACTGGGCAGGGGGATTTGTTCAGGAAACATCTCTGAAGCCACCTTAGATACGTGGAACTAGTTGTGTGGTTATTTGAATCCTGGTCTCCCGTCTACAGCTGAAGTACACAATGCTCACATCTGACTTACTCGTGCAAAACTCTTTTGACATTATGTAAGAGAGGCTGTCACAACTATGGCAAACAGCCACCATTTTTGGTCCACTGTAGAGAGCCTTCAGTATTAAGCATATAATTATGTGCACTGTCCTGAACTAGAGATTTTTTTTTATATAAAAAAACCCATGTATCATAGGAAGTGGGAGAATGCACTGTCTTTAATCCCCTTTTACTTGTGAGAGGAATGTTTCCTTGCTCAAACTACAGAAGCACCAACATGGATTTGGTCCAAACAATTGGTTGCAATAATTCCAAAGCAAATCAGAATAGAAACCATCTTCCTCTGCCCATTCCTTTCCATCTTTCCTCAGTTCTGAGTACAGATGCTGGTGAAGAAAACACTCCATCATCTCAGGTTCCCAGCTGGAGGAAGTTCTGAATTTCCACCACCCTTTTACCTCCCCCGGGGGGAAAATGACACTTTACATTGCCAGCCACAGATATTCTCACACTTGAAGTCAAAAGTCACAATTGACCTGGGCATGCTACAGCTATATTTAAGGGTAACAGACACATCACACGCTAACACATGTAAAAGCACTGTAGTTCATTTTTAAAAAAACCAGCAAAGCCACTTCTGAGATGTGGGGATTTCGAGCAATGAAGTGGCAGAGAAGGGAGCACCCATCCCATCCTTATGCTGTCCACTGTATTCCCTCTCCAAATCACATTCCCAAGCAGCTCTTCCCTGAATGTGTCAAAGATGCATGCAAAAACATGGTTGGAATCGTGTATTGGGCAGGGAGCCATTGGGAACAAAACATCAGGCAGGGGAAGGGTTAAGTTGCACACCCCACCTATTTCCTCCCTCTAACTGCCCCTCCCGAAACAGCTAGTTTTGCTTTCTTTCATTTTTTTTAAATAAACAAATGGCATCATGGCACCCTTACATGTTTTAGTGTGCAATATGCAGTTTGCCCCCTACTGAGTATTTTGAAGTTTAAGGTGGAACTTAAGCACGTACCCAAACATCTTCTAAGGAAAACAGAATTTAAAAGTGTTAAGCTTTGCCTTGATTGTGTCATTTGTTTTTAAATGATGAGAAGAGGTAGATGGGAAGGAGGGAACAGAATGGGCTGGCCAAAGTGTGCGCTTCAAGACAATTCACGAGGCAGCTGACTCTGGCCAGACCAGTGCCTAAATCACTCCACAGGAGAAGACAGGAAGTGCAGATACTGGTACACGTGTGTGTGTGTTGGGGTAATAATCAAAATCGGCTTGAGAGACGAGTGATAGCTGGAAATAAGGGCATGCCAATATCCTCGGGTAAACTCCCCTTTGGGGAAGGCACAGGTGAGCCTTAGCCTCCTGTAGAACTGGGGTGGCTAATGACCGATCTGGGGCCTCACCTGGTCTACCCTCAAGCCCCTCCATGTTTGGTAGCAAAAGAAACAACCACAAAAGTCGACACAGCCCCGGGAGGGGTTGGAGAGAGAGGGGTAAGGCATGCGGCCCAGCGAATCTGACAGGGACACAAATTGGCTCCCTGTCCAGTCATCGGAAGGATGATTTGATGAGCAGGAAGGTGGCAATACCTCCCTTGTCAGCTGATCTGCTGTGGGAGGGGGCAGTGTGCCCATGTGACAGTGTGGGGTGGCCACACCACTGACCTGTGGGTGCCACAGGGCTGGCTGAGGGCGATTACAATCTTTGAGCCAAATAGGTTTAGGGAGGTCTGCTCTAGGGGAGCTCTAGCTAAAGCTAGACGTTCTACCTACCGGATCCCACAGAAGATTGAAAGTAACCTGAGTAACAGCTGAAATGTTTTTGAACTCACTTTTACTACTTCCACATATCCTTTTTTTAATCTTTGTATGCCACAGGCTCCCTGGCGAATGAAATACATGTTGTTTATATTGTTGTACCAGCTTTTCTATATATACGAGAGAGATTATCTGAATATTTCCATCACTGAATATGGCTTCCTAGAATATAGCTAGCACCCCATAATTATTTGTGCATGAGTATCTGCCCTCAGAGCTGGTGTCATCAGAAATGGGTCTCATCTATCCAAGTACCTGATGATTGTTTCAGCAAGTTTTAGGACTGGGCTGTTAGTCTGGTATGTTAAAATTAAGAGAGTAAAAAATATTACCCTACATTTTGAAGGAGCAATGGGCTAATTCTCTTGATTTCTGCCCATGTCTTAGAATGAGAAGAGTGTAGCTTATGCAGGACAAAGTAATACATTACAACAATGGGAAGATTTTGGGTGGTGGTTCCAGTATACACTGCCTGAATTAAACCGAGCAAAAGACATTGCTAAAAATATCCTTCTGTCTCTCTGACAATTTTTTTTAACAGATGTCAACAGCTGATTTATGACAGGTTTATTTTCTTGCTTCCTATTTATTGCACCTTTAAGTTCTTGGTTGCCGGAAGCGTCTATTGCCTGAATATTTTATTATTATTATTATGTAGCTTGACCCAGGTTAGAAAACCAAACACTGTTCAGAACTATACATTTCTACAGAAACAAATCACATTTTGATAGTGGTAATTACAGCCATCTTCTCTCTGATGTTCAGAGACAGAGAGAAATAAGAATTCCAGCGTTCTGTGCTTGCGGGAACCTGCAGTGTTCTTTTTATTGCCATGTAGAAGTCAATTAAAATGAATCCTCCTGGAAAAGCTCCCAAATCTCCAGTAATTATCGCTGTCTAGACAGCGTACTATGCTTTGAAGAGGCTTCCGACACAATATATTTGTGTGTAAGGAACAGGCCACTGTATATTTAGTGATTCTTAAGATTCCGACTCCCCTCTGGTTGCAGAGAAAGAAAGCAATAGAAAGGTTTTGATCTTTAGGAGCCTGACATTAGCGACAATAAAGCATACAAAAATACACATAGTAGTATCTTCTAATACAACAGATGATAAATGAATGTGTAGGTATCTGAGCTAACCAATGGAATTTCATTCAGTCAATGAGTAATGGGTTGAATCCAAAGGTGCCCTTCTGGGTGTGGAGCGGGGCTTCCTCTCACAGCACAGCTGTTTTACAGCTCATGCAATAGCCTTGCATAAATCCACAGATGTTCTCCTGCAGCTGAAAGCATGAGTACTGCTGTGGAGCATGCCTATTATAGCACTGTGTGATCTCTTTCGTAAGGGTTTGCTGAATGCCACTAGCAAGCTGTTTTCCTTCCACTCATGCGTCTTTGGATCGAATTCAATCGCTTTGCCTATTTGCCATCTCTTACTTCTTCTTTTTTGTCACACTCTATAGCAGTTGCTGACCAGAAACCAGAGATTTGCTTTCCACAAGCAGATCAAGGTAATATTCCTTGTGAAACCTGCTCACGCGAGGTGCATTCAGAGAACACTTTCCCCATGTGGAAGCATGTTTCACGAAGCTACTTGTACGCATAGCTTGTGCAAAACCTTGCACATAGAGCAGGGGTTCCCAAATGTCCCCCCATGGACAACTTGAAATTGCTGAGAGCCACTTGACGGTTTCTCATCCAGTTGTAGCAATTGCAGTGTGTTGTACTAGATGCTGTATGATTTTTTTAATTGCATTGTTATTGCTTCTTTTATTTTGTATTACAATTTGAGTGCCATGGAATATAAGACATAAAAGCAATAAAATACAATTAAAAATAAATGTGTCTATTTAATGCAATGGATATGGGATCTCCCATCTTCATCCATAGACACATGCTGGACCAACTGAATGAAACTCATGGACCACTGGTAGTATAAAAACCAGTTTGGGAACTCCTGATGCAGAGAGTTTCACAAGGATTTCTTCTGCTTGTGGTCCTATCTGTATCCTGGCCCCAGTTGCTTCAATGTCAGTAGCAAGTATGGCAATGGTAAGATCTTTTGCATACTTGAGAACAATTTTTTTAATCAGATATGCCAAATCAAGTATTTATTAACTGGGTTTTTAAAATGAAAACTAGCGCCGTTATCTATGCGAAGTAGGACTTTCCTTATCTATATGGAGTTTGCAATGTATAACATTTCTTGCATTAGAAAAGTATACTGTATAAAAGCTCTCTTATCTGAAATACATTAAAGCAACAATCAAAATAAAAATGCTGCAAAGGAAAGAAAAAGTAATGGCTAACCAAAATGTCATGTAGTTGATGATAGTCAGTCCAGCATATCAGATTGTTGGCTCTTCGTATGAAATCTTTGATGCGCTATTAAGCTAACTACAGGAGATGCAGTGACAAGAGAAAAAGTCTCAAATGTGGTGTCCACACTGCTCGATGTGACTTTGTCATGCGGTCCATTGTCACACATAGGATTTGGCTTTCAGAATGGGTTGGGAAGTCGTGGGAAAATGCACTTTTCCAGTGTTGACTCGCCTGACACGGGGAACGCTACTCTCAATATTTTTCTGGGGGTGCGCGGTGTATGAAAAGGCCCTGACTAGTATTCTTAAGCAGAATATTTTGAGGTATCTATTAGAAAGGAATGCTGGCAATGTTTTGGACTCCCAAATTCTGTCTAGCCGAACAATGTGCGGATTTCAGTGGGTTCCGTCCCGTCCATGAGCTTCCTTTACCCCCACCTGGGAAAACAGACAAGTTCAAGAGTCCCCCTTGCACTCCTCTTGAAACTCAAGTCCCTCTTGCATAGGCCAGTAATAAGAACACTGCAGCTCAGACAAATAAATTACAGCAATATAACAAGTTTCTTAATCCCCCCTTTTTTAAAACATACTTTATCATTTACACAAAGTGTGGCGGCTGGATTTTAGCTTAAGATACAACCCGAATGTGTGTCCTCTCAGTCTTCGACTCCGAGTGGAAGGCACGACTACAGCAATACTGCCTGTATGTACCGTACGTGGGTTTGAAAGCACAGCAAGAGACCTCATCTCCTGGGCTGAATATCAAAGAGCCTGCGGAGTCTTTGGAAATAATAATTACAGTTCTTGTTATGGCAGTGGATATTAGGAAAGTTTCCCTTCGCTCTTTCTTTTTTTTGTGCTATGGAATTTCCTGTGAAAGGTCCTTCGAGTCCAAAAAGCGTGGAGCTCAAGCCCTCAGAAGCTCTCCACAAAGCTGCCAGGGAACAGGCCTGACCTGCCGTTTCTCTGCAAGGTCCCTTTGTACCAGCCGTCCTCCCTTTTCTTGTGGACAAACACGATGTCGCCTTCTTTCAGTTCAATCTCGGCTTCGCTTTGTGGGGGATAGGGGACCACAACACGATACCTTTAAGAGACAGAAGGGTAGACCTTATTGCAGGTGGTGGTTCATATGCTCTACTTCTACTCCCTGGAAGGGTCAGAGATCTACACCTGAAACCAGCAATTGCATAGGCTGGATGGGAATGATGATGTGGAAAGTTCCCAGGCCAGAAACTCTTACACAATGCATATATTTATGTCAGTTTTATCAATAAGCCATCAAAAGTTACTAGGCTGCAGAATGCTTCACCAGCCTCTGGGGTGGTAGCAGAAAAGGGACAGGGAGGCACGTCCCTCCTTCAGCAGCCTGCTGCATTTTACTTATTTAGCATTTACGTTTATTAGTGCCCCATAACATAGCTATCTGGATGCAGCTGAGAGACCATCTTTGCTCCAGCAGCCTGCTTGGTTTCTTGCTCACAGGCCTGCATAGAATTCCTGGTCATCTGTAGCTGCCAGGCAAATACACAAGCTGATTTATTGAGAGAGTATCTCTGTACCTTGCTTTTCAGATAAGAGGATATATTTAAAAAGTCACTGGCTTCTTTTGTTTATTATACTTGTATTTATCTGTTCCTTTAGCGGAGTGGCTGCCAGCATCTGATCATGGATCAGATGCATGATCCTTCACTATCAGTGTAACATCATCGGTTAAGCATAGGAGGGGTCACCATAACACTGTTGAGCATCATATTGTATCTGAAATGCCTGGAGAAAAGCTGTGTATTTTGACATGATTGCACAACTGTGTAGAATATAGCGCTCATGAGTCGGGACGTAAGGAGGCAGTTGTCTTGTATTTGTTGCAAGCAGCCCCGTTTCTGTTCTGCTGCAGTTCACTTTCTGCCGAAAACGTTATTTGTTATGCTGTCTGCTGTGGTGAAATTATGTAATTTGTGCAATTAATGACGCAAATTACATTGTCATTAAATTATTCCACCCCATTCATTTCATTGTAAAGGAAACTATGCAAATTGGGAGAACACACACACACACAGACAGACACAGACACACTTACATATAATTTGTGGATAACAACAGTGAATACCAGTTGTATTCACTGGATTGGTTTCTGTTCTGGACACGGGAGGTATAAGCAAACATTGGCAATTGCTGCTCTCGTTTCCATTTTTGACAGAATTCTCCAACATCCCTGCTCATGAGCGATCCAAAATAAGCTGGTCATCTTTCCCCCTCACCAGTAAATCAGGTTGTCACTTTCTCCGGGTGTGCCAATGCAAGTAATAGGGTTTGAAATGTGGACTACTGGCTAGCTATGGAGAAAGTCTATCATACTGCCATGGGCAGTTCTGCTACACTTTGCGAAGCACTGCCAAGCTCAGCCATTATGCAAATGAATGTTCACATTATTTTAGACATGCTGCTTCAGTGCTGACTAATTACATTATTCAATTAGAGTAATTTTAGCTAAAATGATCCCAGGTTTCAAATCTTGCAACTGTGTATGGATGTGCATAATGGAATACGCAAAATAGGGGAGAGTTCATTGGACCTCATCTTCCTGGTGAATGGAAATGCAACATTTTATTTTACTTCAAACTGTTCAAATTTAGGTGCATCGTAGTGGCAGAAGCATTCCGCATCTGCTCAAACTGTCCAATTGCAATTCAAAGCAGATGTGGAAAACCAGAGCTCATAACACAATAAAATGGTGTCTCCCCCACCCTAATTTACAAATGGCAAAATTCTAAAGGGCTACATAGTATCTAAAGGGATACTATGTGTACATAGGCGGGACACAGGTGGCGCTGTGGGTTAAACCACAGTCTAGGACTTGCCGATCAGAAGGTCGGCAGTTCGAATCCCCGCGACGGGGTGAGCTCCCATTGCTCGGTCCCAGCTCCTGCCAACCTAGCAGTTGGAAAGCACGTCAAAAATGCAAGTAGATAAATAGGTACTGCTCCAGCGGGAAGGTAAACGGTGTTTCCGTGCGCTGCTCTGGTTCGCGGGAAGCGGCTTAGTCATGCTGGCCACATGACCTGGAAGCTGTATGTCGGCTCCCTTGGGCAATAAAGTGAGATGAGCGCCGCAACCCCAGAGTCGGCCACGACTGGACCTAATAGTCTGGCGTCCCTTTACCTTTACCTTATGTGTACATAGGCACATAGGGATTTGCTATCTGCCAAAACATTTTCACATATTTGATTTTTTTTGCAAAATATAACACAAATGCTGGGTCTTGGGTCTCCTGCTCCATTGATCAGCCAGACCAGGCAAATTCAGCGTTATAAGGACCAGGAATATTAAGCACATAACAGCACTTCCTAGGCATTTTCCGACAGCTCTCGCAGAGATGAAACTGGATTATCTCAGTTGTGCTGATTACAGCGGTTATATGTTTAGGCAAACAGCACTGGAAGGAAGCAGGTGTTAAGAAAATAGAATTGGAATAAATGCAGGCTAGAATGTGCTACAGTGAAGGAAAATCCGAGCCATTCCCTCCCGGGGCTTCATTATCTGATTAGTTTCATACACAATACCTTACAAAATGCACAGTCGGCTCTCAATTCCACTCCAGGCTGCAAACAATTAATCAGTGTGATTAATTCCTCTACCTTTTATTGCAATTAAAATTTAGCCCATTAATAGGTAGGAATGACAACAAGCAACGACCCCCAAGGCTTGGGAAACCCCACAAAATGCACTGCAGTAATTAACAATTGTTTTCCTTCTTGCAATGAGTGTTAGGTAGCTTCTTGCAATGGGTAGGTCAGGCATGGCCAAACTTGGCCCTCCAGCTGTTTTGGGACTACAGTTCCCATCATCCCTGACCACTGGTCCTGTTAGCTAGGGATGATGGGAGTTGTAGTCCCAAAACATCTGGAGGGCCGAGTTTGCCTATGCCTGAGCTAAGTAGTGGGGGGTACTCAGATGGAGAGGCACAAAATGCGGGGCTCAGGGTACAAAACAAGTAAAAAAATAGCATCAGTTTGGAGGGCATTCCAATTTTGGGGGTTCACATTTAATAAAGCTGTGCCTGCTGTGTTTTATTGCCTAACTCTCCCGTATTTTATATATTTGTGGTTGTCAAGCCACAAGTGCTGCATAAAATATGAATCTGTTCATCTGAACCCACCCATGCACTTTACTTCATCTATGGAACTGAACAAATTATGTATACAGTAAAATACAAACAAGCAAACATGTTGAGTGCGGAGATGAAAAAGTCACTATGTTGACAGATGTGAAATGCAGCTTCACACAAGTATTTTATTTTATTTTTAAAATTGTACTACTGAGCACTTGGGTGACTTAATGAGCACAAATGGATGTGGAATGAACTTCCAGACAAGAGTTTAATGTAGCTGCTCCAATGATCCAGGGCTAGGCATTATCCTTCCTAGTGTGCAAAGGTAATTAATATTCCTCATTTATAGGCATAAAGAACCATATGATCAGTTAAGGGGTGCAGATAAACCAGTGATATGGAAGTTAATTCATAAATCAATTAGAAAACCTTGCCTGCTGAGTATAATTAAGCTTATTTCAATTAGAGGTTATTCTCGGATTTAAGACTCTGGGAATCAAAAGGCCTGAAAATCCTACAATTCTCAGCTCCTACAAAGTGCAATTAGCACTATCTGTAATGTTTTAAGAGGCCCATCTGTACAACTCCATTTGCAGCTTATTGTGCAAACAATGGGAACACAGGCTGGCCTTCTGGCTCTGTGCATTTTCCATTCCACAGCGTCACAGTCCTGCCCTTGCTTAACTTCCATTCTTGGGGCTAAGAACATAGCAGGATTTTTATCATGCTTGGTTAGAAGAAAAAATGCAAATTAATAGTAAGGCTAAATTTTCTGGCTTTTGGTGGAAATACAACCGTTGGCGTCATGGAGCAGGCTTCAATGCTTCCAAGTCTGGGAATGTTCCTACTGACTTGTCCTACCAGTAGCCAAATAAAGCAGTCTTGCTACTAAATCTGCTAGCCCTCGTGCCCAGACATTCTGATGTGAATTATGACACACAGAGAGAACCAATTTTTTTGTAATATGGAAACAATTCTTATTTCCCACATATGCTTGGTTATTCAGAAGTCTGCTATAGGGTGGGGGTTTTTTTCATGATCTCTGAGGGTTAAAAACTGAGTCTTTGCACTTAATAATGTGCATGCTTTTTAAAAATGCTAATAGCAGCCCTGGGAGTGGCTGATTGGAATCACAGCAGGCAGGGAGTTAATGAAGTTATTGAATTTATTAATTGCTTCCCGTAATAGAATGTCCCAATGTGGTGTACAAGTATAAAATACAGTGATGCAATAAAAATATAGGTAAAGGTAAAGGTACCCCTGACCATTAGGTCCAGTCGTGGCAGACTCTGGGGTTGCGGCACTCATCTCGCTTTATTGGACGAGGGAGCCGGCATACAGCTTCCGGGTCATGTGACCAGCATGGCTAAGCTGCTTCTGGCGAACCAGAGCAGCGCACGGAAACGCCGTTTACCTTCCCACCAGAGCGGTATCTATTTATCTACTTGCATTTTGACGTGCTTTCGAACTGCTAGGTTGGCAGGAGCAGGGACTGAGCAACGGGAGCTCACCCCGTCACGGGGATTCAAACTGCCGACCTTCTGATCGGCAAGTCCTAGGCTCTGTGGTTTAACCCACAGCGCCACCCGCGTCCTTAAATAAGATGGCTAGAGTCTAGCAAAAGAATGTACTGGAGAGAATGATGTGCATTGTACAGCCCTTCTTTGGATCCTGATCGTGGCTGGAATTCCATCACGAGTCAGGACCAGAGAGACTTGCAACTAAATATTCAGCTGTGTCCCAAATATGGCCAGCATGACTAAGCTGCTTCTGGCGAACCAGAGCAGCGCACGGAAACGCCGTTTACCTTCCCGCCGGAGCGGTACCTATTTATCTACCTGCACTTTGAGGTGCTTTCGAACTGTTAGGTTGGCAGGAGCAGGGACCGAGCAACGGGAGCTCACCCCGTCGTGGGGATTTGAACCGCCGACCTTCTGATCGGCAAGCCCTTGGCTCTGTGGTTTAGACCACAGCGCCACCCATGTCCCTAATAAAAATATACAAAAATATTAAAAACAAGGGGCACCTCAATGGGGAGAGAATTCCGCCAGGGGTTTTTAAGCAGAGGCTGGATGGCCAACTCAGGGATGCTGTTGCAGCAGGTGTCCTGTGTTGGAAGGTGGTTTGGGCTAGATCACCTTTGAGGTCTCTGCCAACTCCATGATCTAGTTAGCTGATCTTCCCAGTTCATAGGAACCTTGCAATGAAATGAAAATGTTTCTGTACAAAATACTCTGCCTAGGAGGGCAGCTAACCCAAAATACAAGTAAATACACTTAATTGGATGACATACCTTTCTCGAGACAATGGCTTAGGTTCTGGACGGATGGCTGCCATTGAAGGCGGAAGCTGCCTTATGGGAGAAGGAATAGGGAAATTCAAATCCAAAGAGCCTGTCTTTCTGTGCAGTGGCTCCATCTCCATTGCTCCTTGCATTTCACTTTCAATTGGGCATGAGCCTGCTCTCCCATGGCTAGAGAGAGAGGATAGTTCAGGTCCCATAGCCCCCTGCAGCATCCCTTCCATCACTGCCAGAGGGTCATGTGTTGGGGACATTGACGGAGGAGAGCGGGATTTCTTTTTTGTGGATGCTCCTGCCAGAAGCTTCAGCAGACCACTTTTCTTTTCTTTCTGCGTAGGAATCAAACAGAAGATTACAAGTGAGATGTTTCAATTACAGGTTTTTAGATGAATGCCAGCCATTTTGTACACACAGGGAAGTGTGCGTTGTTTACAACTTATCTTTACCAAGAGAAGTTTTGTGTTGTAAAAGGTGAGGCACAGTGGAAGTTATATTGAACTTCTGTTGTGACAAACATGATTGACTCATCCCGAAAGGGAAAAGTCAGCCTCTAAACAGCTGGAATTTGAAAAGGCAGTGTTATTTGATTCTACTCCTGGAGGAAACAGAGCAGTGTTTTGTCATTTCACGCTGGCAAATAAATTCTCGAGGACCTCAGTATGACAATAAATTGCTTCCATCCTTTTGGCTGATTTGATTAAATCCCAGTGTTGGAGACCTTTGTGTTATCAGGACAAGAAATCAACATGGACTGCACACATGGCTTACATTTAAAGCACATGGCTTTCACCAAAGAGTTCTGGGAACTGCGGTTTGTTAAAGGTGCCAGACTTGATGCTCTCTGAGGAATGACCTGCAGTTCCCACGATTCTTTGGAGGAAGTCATGTTCTTTAATGTGTGGTGTGTACATAGCCATGTTCTTGTAAGGCATAATGCTCTCTCGTCAGATTCTCTAAGCTGCAGCTAGCCTGAATTTTACATAGATGTTTATTTCATGTCTTCTCGCCCTTTCTCCAAGAGTTCAGGGTGTGCATATTCCACTCCCCTCCATTCTATCCTCAAATCAAGCATATGAGGTCCTTCAGGTGCACCCAAGCCCTTAGGTAAGATGTCAGGGTCATGAGGACAGCTCTGCCCTATCCCATGTGCTGCTACTGTCCCAAACCTTTCGGTCAGGGCAGCCAATCGGTCTCTGAATGGGCTTTCTTTCAATTGCCATCATTAGAACCAGCGGCACCAGCTGCCACTTGCGGTTTTGCAACTAAAGCTTTTCTGTAGGATCAATATTTCTGCAAGCGGAATGTTGCTGCATGTGCAAAGTCGTTAGGCACTGAGTGGGTTAATGATATAAATAGATAAATGAATGAAACTTTCGTTGGGGAGGAGGAGGAAATACAGCAGCATCTTAATACTCCAACAAAAGCAGCTGCCACGTAACTGAACAGAGTTTTTTGGGGAGTAAATGGTAAATTGCTCCCTTGGGGTTCAGTGCACAACAGTGTTTGGAAAAAGAATACTGATGAAGAAAGTTCCTGTTTTGTACTGTGCTCGTAATACCATTTTTTGATGTGCATGTCTAAATCCATGCACTTGGATGATGGCAGGAAAACGGTAACACAGAGCTGAGCTTTATTCTTTCATTAATTGGGTTGAGGTTTTAAAGCAAATTTTACAGGCATAAGTGAAGGAAAACTAAGGTATCTTATTAGTACATACAGGTAATGCCCATTCCTCCCATCCTAATTCAGATTACCATTTAAATCAACCCCAAAAAGGGGAAAGAAAGGTGAAAAAGAGAGAGAGGTGGGGCAGGTAAGGACAATTCTGGGGACAGAGGAAGAGAAGTGATGGGAAGAAACATAGGAGACCATTTAGCATAGCGTTGTCTGCATCAGTGTTCTTCAGCCTTGGGACTACAGACACTGTTGTACTACAACGCCCATCATCCCTGACAATTGCCTAAACTGGCTGTAGATGATGGGAGTTGTAGTCCCACAGCATCTGGGGACTGCATATTGATGAACACTGGTCTGCATTAACCGGCAGCTGCTCTCCAGAGTTCCAGAGATGAGTAATTGAACCTGGAATATTTTGCAACCATAGCATCTGCTGCTGAGCATGACACTTCAGCTCCACCCCCCCAAAATTATGGGGTGCCTTGGAGCCTAATCTGCAATGATGCAATGCCGTGCTGCTGGCTGCTGACAAAATATCCCCTCTCCCAGGACAAACACCATTAATCGAGGCCAAGAAAACACCTGGCTTTGCTGAAGTGTTCTGGAAATGTTGAAATAGGTGTACAAGCTGATACAACAGTTCCAAGCTAGAATCTGAAGTATCATGTTTTGACCAGTCAGGGGACCACCATATCCACAAGCTCTTACCACTCGGTGATACTGAACTTCTCCAGGGGTCAAAATATCCTTACAAATATGCTCCCACATGCCATGGAGCGCTTCCAGATTACTATTTTTGGGCGGGATAAATGCAGAACCTTGCAAATTCAGGCTGTGCAGTGTCAGATAATTTGGAGCTCTTGTGAAACAAATCCGTTGAACCAAAATAGTGGACTTTTGGTGATGGGGGGAAATGCACTAGAAACTGTGGGATAACATTGGCTTGATTTAGTACCCTCTAATAACCGCACAGACAAATCAGGATGAATGCTCATGAAATGTTCGATGCTATCTAATCTCTCCGCAAGCAAGCCAGGATGAATGCCCATTAAACAGGTTGCCTGGAAGTGACCCAAGTTTATATTAGGAACAAGGATAAAGAACCTACTCTTTCAATTACGATCACCTCTAGGGCATGTTCTCAATGAATGCTTACTATAGAACAAGGGTCAGCAGGGGGCCGGTCCATTGTCCCTCAGACCTTGTGGGGGGACGGACTATATTTTTTTGGGGGGGGGAATGAACAAATTCCTATGCCCCACAAATAACCCAGAGATGCATTTTAAATAAAAGCACACATTCTACTCATGTAAAAACACCAGGCAGGCCCCACAAATAACCCAGAGATGCAATTTAAATAAAAGGACACATTCTACTCTTGTAAAAACACACTGATTCCCAGACCGAGAAGGCGATCGGGCCCCCGGGCCTTAGTTTGCCTACCCATGCTATATAATAGCAACAAGGGAGCATGTCAACCTGGTGATTTCGCCCTTTCATAAATGATTTTGCGACACCATCTTGAGAAAATGGTGTGGCCCATGTACCCCCACTTTCTAAATGCCATTAGAACATTTGCGCTAAAAAAAAAAGGCATTGCAGAAGTTGTGAAGATGTTGAAAGAGATTTTTTAAACAGAAAGATGATGCAGATCAATTTAGTGAGATAAGGCTTCCAGCCTTTTAAGAACACACCCCTACGGATAGCTTTCATCCCACGCACGGTTTTCAAGCAGGCACAAGGACGTGTTTTCAAAAGAGTTCGTGCAACCATGTAATCAATTTTTACATTAATTAGGAAGTCTGTGTGAAACACTGCTGCCGTTTTTAAAGGCTGAGTGTGATATATTCAATGCTGAAGACATTCTGAGGTGTGCTAAGCTAACTTGAAATTTCTTGAGAAACTAATGAAACTTTAAAAGGCAGTCGAGGAAACAGGAAAAGAAAGAATGTGTTTTAAGCAAGCAGAAAAGGCTATCACAAGTGAGCTTCAACCCTGCTTCAGTAAATAAGGTTTTCTAGCTAACTTGTATGAAATGAACACTGGGTTAGAATATTGACTAGTATTCTCAAGTTCTCACATTTTCTTTATGGAGAAAAAGAAGCCGCCGGGATTTAAACACCCACACACAGAGAAAGGAAATTTTTTGCTAATGTGCTGAATATTCTGGAAATCTAATGAAATATTCAATGACGAAATGCAGCTTGCAGCTTGATAATACTTTTATTTTACACTTACATTAGCTCAACTTCCTGGCTTTTACCAGAGGCAGGTTTTCTTTTTTAAAAACAAAACAGATAAACCCACGCATCTTTACATTCTTTAATCTCCTTAAGTGACAGAAACTTGATATGTGTAATTCTAAAGAAAAAAAGAAACAGCTAAGATCTAGATTTTTGTAGGTGGTCTTCATTTTAAAAAACTCACTTGGCTAATGCAATAGCAGCAAGCGTTTTCTCCCCCTCAAGTTCCTCACATAACCAACTCTCACAAATTCACAAAGCTTCTTGGGTAGTCAGCACCAAAATTCCCTTTAACTATCACCCTCAACTATATTATGGTGAGCATGAAGTGTGTCTGGCTTTGCTGAAAAAGTAAACGAAACAAGGTTTTCTGAGTTACTCCAGAGAGATTTATAAGTAAGCTAACTGCTGGAAGATCACTGAAAAGCCAGACAATTTGTCACTACTGCCACCATTTTTCAAACCAGTATGTAACAGAAATATTTGCACAACAGTTGCACAACAAAAGCGGGCTCTGTCCACTTGAGAGCACGCTTCAGCCAATCCTGGCTCTCAGATGAATATACACATCTTTTCAAGCCCATTTGTCACATTGCTTTTCAGTGCAATGTGTGAATGTAATCAGGAGTAAACAGAGAACTGTGAGCTCTACCACAATTTCTACTTAGTTTTCGAATTAATGCACATTGCCAGATCTGCTAGCTGTCTTCTTCAGTGAGGGAGAATAAAGGAGGGTGAGAAGGGATGAGCACAAGCCAAGATCTGCCTCTCCAGATTCGTCTTTTCTCATAGAGCTCTGATTCATTTGGGAAACTGAGGCCTTCTCCAGCCCAGTCCCTATTTCTTGACAGGAATACAACAACATGACTACCTTTGAATGTGACTTGGAAACTATAATAAATTCAGAACACAGCTGCTAAACTGGTAACTGGGAGTGGCTGCCAGGACCACAGAACATTGGCCCTAAAAGATCTACATTGGCTCCCAGTATATTTCTGAGCACAATTCCAAGTGTTGGTGTTGACCTTTAAAGCCTTTGGCCCTGTGCACCTGAAGGAGCGTCTCTGCCCCCATTGTTCAGCCCAGGCACTGAATTCCAGCTCCAAGGGCCTTCTGGCAGTTCCCTCACTGTGAGAAGTGAAATTACAGGGAACCAGACAGAAGGCATTTTTGGCAGTTGCCCTGCGGAATGCCCTCCCGGCAGATGTCAAAGAGTTAAACAGCTATATAATTTTTTGTAGACATCTGAAGGCAGCTCTTGTTTTGGGAAGCTTTTAATGTTTGATGCTGTATTTGTGTTGGAAGCTGCCCAGAGTGGCTGAGGCAATTCAATCAGATGGGCGGGGTATAAGAAATATATTATTATTATTATTATTATTATTATTATTATTATTATTATTATTATTATGATACTATGGGGCTCTCATTTTGATATCAAGGTGCTGAGTGGTGTGGCAAATGACCTGGGGCTTAAATGCTTGATGGGAGCTCCTCTCTCTGTCTGCACAGGCCCTATAATCTGCAGAAGGAGACGCATTACATGGTGGCTTGGGGCAGGGTCTTCTTTGTGGTAGTTGCAGAGTTGTTATGAGGATAAAATGGAAAGTGGGGAACCATGTAGGCCACCTTGAGTCTCCTGGAGGAAAGGTGAGCTATAAATGTAATCATAAATTAAGAAGAGAAAAATGATGTTTGTCTTACAGCAAGGCCAAGAGGCTTGATAAAATAATTAACACATGTTGTACATAAATTTCAGGGACCAGCACTCCTTGCTCTAACCCAGGAGGCAAGTCTGTGATCTATGTTTATCACTAATCTAGACCACATTTCTGCACTGAAGATGACGATGTTGATGCAGTATCTACTGGTAAGTATCCAGTTCTTTGATTAGAAATTTGAACACATTTTGCAAAACATTTGGCTAAGTTGTAAAATGAAGTTGCATTCACCTTTGAAAAAGCTAATGTGATCATTGCATATATACATCTGTTTTGATATGTGTGCTAGGAAGCAGCAGCAACAGAGCACATATTTTGGCTCGTGTGTACAACGGCCACAACGTAAAGCTAATTTAAGTTCACTGAAATCAATAGGCTTAGTCCCTTGTTACTGTTGTTGCAGTGATATCCCATTTTTCCTGCAAGGGGCTTAAAGTGGCATACATCGTCACAACGACCCTGTGAGGGTTAGGCTAAGAGACAGTGACTAGCCCAAACAATGAGCTTTGTGGCTAAGTGGGGATTTGAACCCAACACTCTATAACCACTGTACCAGACCGGCTCACACCGATTTAAGCGTGTCCACACAGAATGTGGTCCAAATGAAAACGCAGTGAAATAGATGTGTGTACGTAATTGTTACACAGAACGATCTATATTCAGATCACATGCTTCTTCCGACCTAGAAGTGCTTTCTACGTAGGAATTGTGTAACATGCCAACTGGCCTTAAATAACAGCAAATTCAACCCCCAAATTTTTTTGCTTCACATTTTTTAAGCTTCGTTTTTTTAATGTGCTGGACTACTCTGGGTGGAAACTGGGGAAATTTCAGTGTGATCACTTAGGAGGAACCTTCTGAACATTTACTTTCTGAGAGTTGCTTGGCAGTTGATTCAAAGTGGCGTGTGGATTCCCAGTATTTAAAAACACCGCTGAACAACGTAAATGTTTAAGAGAAGTCCTTTTTTGAACAATGCCATATTGCGTTTCTAAAAGAGCTGAAACCAAGAAAGGGGAGAAATCTGCTTTGTTATAGAATCTGAAGCAAACTATGCTTTGACAGCTGGGGTTAATGCGTTTGGCTGGGTTAATTGCCAGCCTGAGAAATATTCATTAGCTGAGTGCCAGCTTTCTGTCCTTATGCTCTAATGCAGAGTAAGGAAAGGGTGGGGAAGATGCTAAATATGAGCTAGGTACTCTAAGACAGTGTTTCCCAACCATTGTTCCGCGGCACACTAGTGTGCCGCGAGATGTTGCCTGGTGTGCCGTGGGGAAAATTCGAAATATATATATTTTTTTTTTGTAAAAGTCAAATTAGGTCCTAATCTATCCCTCGAGCGCCTCTTGTCCGTTATTGTGACGCATGAAGCGTGTTCCCGCCCACTCCCCGCCCTCCCTTGCTTCTCTCTCTCTCTCTGTGGCGTTCTCCGCCGCTTCCTGCTGGACATGCGCAGCTCGCCTCGCGCTTCCATTCCGGCCCCTCCTTCCCCTGACTACCCCGCCGCTCCGTTCCTTTCTCTTTCTCGCGTGTCAGAGAGCGGCGGCGCGAGCGCGGCTGTTCCCTCAGGGCTGATGGAGGGCTCGAGGAGGAGGAGGCAGGACGTGGAGGCGGAGAAAGCGGCGGCGGCCACCCCCCACCTCCGGCTCGAGGCCCGCGTAGAAAGCTGAGGGGGAGAGATAGATAGAGGTGGGCGGCGGTGGCGGCGGCGGCGACCACGACCAACCGCCACAGTAGTTGTAGCGGTGGCGACGGCGAGCAGGGACTCCCGCTCTCTCTCCGTCGTCTCTCTCTCTCTCTCTCTCTCTCTCTCTCTCTCTCCCGGGCCCTTCCGTTGAGTCTCCCGCGCGCCTCGGCTACAAGATGAGCATCGAGATCCCGCCGGGTCTGACTGAGCTGCTGCAGGGCTACACGGTGGAGGTGCTGCGGCACCGGCCGCCGGACCTGCTGGCCTTCGCCGCCGAGTACTTCGCCAAGCCGCGCTCTCCTTCCTGCCTCGCTTTGCTGCCTCCTCCCCCCACCCCCAAAGCTTGGAGGTTCCCCGGCGCCGACCCGCAGGTTTGACCCCCTTCTCACACCTGTTCGCGCTCCTTGCACGGAATGGGGTGGATGGGGAGGAACGGGGCTCGCCGCTGCCTCCGCTCGCCCTCCCCCCCTCCGCCGGCGGTCCCGCGATTCTTGGCTTTTTGGCGGTTGGCACAGAAGGAAGGCAAGGGGGAGGGGAAAAAATTGAATCTTACACTTTCGTGCGTCCCTCCCGGCGTGACGCTGCGCGCTGACGTCACGGGGCTGTAATGGTGGTGTGCCTCGAGATTTTTTTCATGAAACAAGTGTGCCTTTGCCCAAAAAAGGTTGGGAAACACTGCTCTAAGATAAGTGTTTTATTATCAGATACCTCCATGACTACGAACAAAAGAGACAGCTCTATGCACAACCCAAGTGGGAGCATTGGTGTTAAGGTCAAGCGTTTCAAACTATATGGATTGTTGAAGCATTATCAGGATCAGTTATAGAGGCCTGGAGGGGCTGCATGTGGTGGTTCCTTATTCTTATCTAGTGGGCTTCTCTCTGCCCCACTTTGGCAAGGTTTTCATCTTGTTCCCTATAAAAATGCACCCTCGGAGGAGTTTGAATGAACCTTCAGTGCGTACCCAACCAGCCCTCTACTTCCACCAGTTCTTGGCCCTGCCTTGTCTGCACCATAGGCTAAAGTACACCTAATGTAGTGCAGACCAGAAAATATGTCTGGCAGTAATCAGCGGTATGCAGTACTGGCACTTTCCCACCACTCCCCAATGTTGGAGATGGCCCAACTTTCAGCCCTGTTCTGCAGGCAACTTACGCCAACCCACGCACTTCTTGCTTAACACACCAAACATGACTTTCCCTATCTATCTATCTATCATCTATCTATCTATCTCTATATGAGTTATATTCAGTGCGGTAGATTGCACCCACAACAGCATACAATATTGAAAGCTGACTTAAAACAATCATTACTAAAACGCAGTGCAAAAACAGATCAAACAAATAATAATAACAACAATAATTTTATGATTTATATCCCGCCCATCTGGCTGGGTTTCCCCATGTTAAATCCAAGCAAAATCAGCCCATAGCAAATACTCTGAAGAAAACCATCAGGGAGGGAACCAGGAACTTTCCCCCGAGGAAGTGCATTCCTCAGTGTGAGTGACACCAAAAAGAAAGCCTGGCTCTGTGCCCTAACTGGAGGCAAAGGTGGGATGCAAAGAGCGGCTTCCCACGCAGATCAGGGAAGTTCATGCAGGACAATTTGTTCCCTAAAGTTTGACCAGGGGCAGCCAAGTCCACATATTGCAGACTACAAGTCCCATAACACCTGGTCATTGCCCTTGCTGCCTGAGGAAGGTAGGATTTGTAGTCTAGACATCTAGAGGGCACACTGTTATCTATCCCTGATTTAAGGCTTCATACAATGTTCACTTCTCCATTTTTTTTTAAAAAAAGATGTACTTTCAGGAAGCCTTGGCAGTCTTTTCAACAAAGGCTGATCCAGAAGAATATAATCATATTTTATTTTATTTTTGTATAGTGGGGTGCAATCAAACATGGCTTGATATTGCTAACAGGTTTTCTTTTACTTATCAGATTTCCCCCAGAAACTGTAAATCTGGAGTCAATGAGGAAGGAACTTGCCTGCATGAGAAGCATTGGTCAACAACTCTCTGGAAGTATCCTTGGGAACCAAAGAGCAAATACAAGAAAGAGAGAGGATTTTCCAGACACCTGCCAGGCTTCTGACAGACCACATGATCATTTCAGAGCCGAGATGGAGTGGGGGAGGATGTGGATCATGTGTGCTGGAGACAACATCCTATGTGTTCGGAAAGGAAATCGAACTTTAGCAGTACGTAAGTTCTACTTGAGCCTTTATCACTGCAATTCAAAACTTGGCAGCGTTGCATTTCTATAGTTAGAACAAATTAGAAATGAGAAGAGCCAGTGAGTGCAGCTGCATACTGTTTTGTTATGCTTATTTTAAAATCTTCTGGATTTAAAATCCATATTGTGACTTCCTAAAAGTACTAGTTCCAAAAAAGGGAAGAATTTTAATCAATGTGCTATCCAGCTTGAAACAATTCAAGGTTGTGCATACTATGTACTCATTTTTGTTTTAACCCTTACCAATGTTTACTGACTGACAGCTCAATAGGAAGTTTGCAGTGTACTACTGAAGGTACTTGTAGTATGCTTAAAGGTAAAGGTAAAGGGACCCCTGACCATTAGGTCATGTTGCGGCGCTCATCTCGCTTTACTGGCTTCCAGGTCACGTGGCCAGCATGACTAAGCCGCTTCTGGAAAACCAGAGCAGCGCACGGAAACGCCGTTTACCTTCCCGCTGGAGCGGTACCTATTTATCTACTTGCGCTTTGATGCGCATTCAAACTGCTAGGTTGACAGGAGCAGGGACTGAGCAGCAGGAGCTCAACCCGTCACGTGGATTTGAACTGCCGACCTTCTGATCGGCAAGCCCTAGGCTCTGTAGTTTAACCCACAGTGCCACCCGCATCCTTTGTAGTATGCTTACAATTCACAATTGTTGTGCTTTTCTGTTTAAGATGCTGTACGGGAGTGGGAATTTGAACATACTCTAATCACGTTACATAAAAGAGTTGGCCATTGCCAAATATTTTCAGAAATAGAAATTCCTCCCTCCCTAGCAGTTATGTAGAGATAAAAGCACTTCTCTTCTTTTTGAACAAGCTTAGACAAGAGATAGTTGAAATACAGATGTTAACACTTAGTCAACTGTGTCTTCAGAATGATTTGTTCTTCTAATGCACAGACTATGGGTTACTCAATGAGCACAGAAGTCTCTTGATGGAGTGAGCAATTTGGATGACTTTAAAAAAATGTTTTGTGATGAAAGAAATAGTTCAAAATAATTCACATTTTGCTTCGGCAGAAAGGTTCAAGACAAGTGTCTAATCAGATTGTATGTTTCCACTGATTTCATTCTAGCGAATGAAAACAATGCAAAACTGGTTGAGCATACTACTGCTTATTATCAAATAACTTTCTACAGACAACCCTGTTACAGCCTTGAACACTGAGTAAGGAATACTCAGATAGCTGACAACATTCCATTTCATACTGGAACAGGACAGCTAAATTTAAATGTATGGCAGCAGGCACTGCCCATGATTTTTATGCTCTCTAGGGCTGCAGTTTATTTTCTGTATGTTTTTTTGAAGCCTTGTAAATAAGTCCAGAAAAATGACTAGACCACATGTTGGTTGGTTTTTTACCAGCTTGCAAATAAGCTAGTAGCCTGTGTTTCCATGTTTGCTTCAGCAGAGGGGAAGCTTCCTCCTCCAGAGCCAGCATAGAACTGAAGGATGCTCGCATTTTAGCAGTCCTGCCCCCACTCTCTGTAATTGTCTTCTATCTAGTAGGCCGGAGAAGTGGAGCAGAACTGAGGGGACCGGCTTCTGTTCCTCTGCAGCCAGTGCAGAAAGAAAGCGGGGGGTCGGAGGGGAAATGGAGAGAGCCATCTATTGTCTGCATGGTTGCTCTATGAGTAATCTGGATGTTTAAGTATCTTTCCATTTCTCAGTTTTTCACATCAGTTTGTTACTTTTTTAAAAAAAATCATCATCAGAATTTTAGTGTGAATTTCTTCAAATATAGACATCTTTATTTAACATACAGCATTTCCCCCCTAAAATAATGCAGTTTTGAATATTTTCATCAACATATGTAGTCTCTTGCTCACATTTCACCCTGGTAAAAATGCATGTTTGTATACTACTTCACAGTACAGTCGCATTACAAAATTCAGAGAAGTGTGCATTTTAAAGGCTAGCTGCTATCTGGTTCACAGATTTCTTCGGGAAGTGCAAATTAAGGAAGTTCAAATGGAATTAAGTAAATGCAAACTGAACTGAATTCCCTCCTGAACCCTACCTATGACTACCAGGTTAAAAGTTAAAGCCTTACATGGCTCAGGAACTCAATACCTTAAGGACCACCTCTCCCAATATGAACTGACCCAGACCCTGTGCTTTTCACCCAAGGCCTTTATGTCCTGCCTCCCCAATAACTTTATTTTATAGCTATACAAATGAATAAATATTGTATGGGTGGTGAGAGTTGAACTCCTTCCCCGAATCCTGGGAAAAACAACAACCAGTGCACCCATTCCTCGTTTTCCATACACTGGGCAAGATGCATTATTACTGGTATTTAATATGATCCACCGGAGTAGGGAGATTTTCCCTTCAGCAACTGAACATGTCACATGCATTGCAGATCATTTTTAGGGGCTTACACAATATAAGCCCCTGTACTTCTCCCAGTGGGTGGCGCTGTGGGTTAAACCACAGAGCCTAGGACTTGCTGATCAGAAGGTCGGCGGATCGAATCCCCATGACGGGGTGAGCTCCCGTTGCTCAGTCCCTGCTCCTGCCAACCTAGTAGTTTGAAAGCACCTCAAAGTGCAAGTAGATAAATAGGTACCGCTCCGGTGGGAAGGTAAATGGCGTTTCCGTGCGCTGCTCTGGTTCGCCAGAAGCGGCTTAGTCATGCTGGCCACATGACCCGGAAGCTGTATGCCGGCTCCCTCAGCCAATAAAGCGAGATGAGCACCGCAACCCCAGAGCGCTGCAACCCCTAATGGTCAGGGGTCCCTTTACCTTTACTTGCTTCTCCTAGTTAGTAACAAGGAGGGTCACTACAGAAGTTGTGATCCAGGCCGAGAGACAGAAAAACGTGCATCAGAAGAGCGACTGAGAGCCAGACGCAGCCTCAGCCTCACATGGATCAAAACAGCTTTAGGCCATATGGTAATTTGGATCTACATTAAACTTTTTGGACAGATTTCACTGCTAACGTAGAACAAATGATAGTTTCAGATAGTTGGTTTTCAAATAGTTTGGGATACATTCCAGGCATCAAAAAGCAATAAAGATGCACTGCGGCTGATGATAAATTAACAAACTGTTCCCAGAAGCAACAACTTATCTTTCATTTTAGGAGGAGCCACTGTGCCGGATGTTTTTGAGAAGTTTAATCAAAATTCTCATCAGAAACCAAATGAGAGGGTTCTTCAGAAAGAACAACCACCCAGTGTGATTTACTTCATCAGATTAAGCGACTGAGGCCACATCAGTCCATTCATGTAAGTAGTTTTATATGAGATGGCAAAAAGGAGCCACATTATTTACAAGGGAAAGTGGCATAAGAGTAATCAACTCATAAGAAATCATAGGGTATTTTGTAATTATCTTATCAGGCAATATTTAAGTTAGCTGCAAAAGGAAATTCTATCCAGAGACTTTTAACAAATAATAAATCAGCTCAGCTCAGATTGAGTTTATACCGTATTTTTCGGCCCATAGGACGCATCACGTTTTTTTGGGGGGGAAATAAAGAAAAAAAGTTTTATTCCCCCCCCCAGGGGCTTGTGGGGCCGGCAGCGGGGAGAAGCGCTCTTCTCCCCGCAGCCCGCCTTGAGATCAGGTCCGGGGACAGCGGGGAGACGCGCTGTGCCTCCCAGCTGTCCCCGGAGCTTGTGGGGCAGGCAGCGGGGAGAAGCACTCTTCTCCCCACCGCCCGCCTTCAGATCAGGTCCGGGGACAGCAGGAAGACGCGCTGCATCTCCCAGCTGTTCCCGGAGCTTGTGGGGCAGGCAGCGGGGAGAAGCGCTCTTCTCCCCGCTGCCCGCCTTCAGATCAGGTCTGGGGACGGCAGGAAGACGCGCTGCGTCTCCCCAGCTGTCCCCGGAGCTTGCGGGGCTGGAGGCGGGGTCTCCCCGCCGTCAGCCTCCAAACCACTTCGGGAGACAGCGGGATGGCGGCGTTCCGCCTCCCTCTGTCCCCCGACCTTGTGGGGCTGGCGTGGGGCTCTCCTGAAGCCTGGAGAGCGAGAGGGGTCGGTGCGCACCGACCCCTCTTGCTCTCCTGGCTTCAGTGAAAGCCTGCATTCGCCCCATAAGGACGCACACACATTTCCCCTTCATTTTTGGAGGGGAAAAAGTGCGTCCCATAGGGCGAAAAATACGGTATGTCGTGGGCTGCAGTTCCATAATACAGTATTAAACTCTACTAAAGCAAGCCTTTCCCAACTTGACACCTGCCAGATGTTTCAGACTGTAATTTGGATGGATGGAGGGTTAGTCCATTAACATCTGGAGGGCCACAGGTTTCTCACCCCATGGGCTAGATAAGAAGAGCATTACCTGAAATCAAAGATTTGACAATAAATGAGAAGTTTCAAGAGGGAGCAATGGGACATGAAGAAACTGGGGAGAATTTGGAGGAAACAATGGCAGAAAAGAATAACTATAGGGATAGCTTAAAGGTAAAGGTAAAGGGACCCCTGGCCATTAGGTCCAGTCGTGTCCGACTCTGGGGTTGCGGTGCTCATCTCGCTTTATTGGCCGAGGGAGCTGGCGTACAGCTTCCGGGTCATGTGGCCAGCACAACTAAGCCGCTTCTGGCAAACCAGAGCTGCGCACTGGAAACGCCGTTTACCTTCCCGCCGGAGCGGTACCTATTTATCTACTTGCACTTTGACGTGCTTTCGAACTGCTAGGTTGGCAGGAGCAGGTACTGAGCAACGGGAGATCACCCCGTTGCGGGGATTCGAACTGCCGACCTTCTGATAGGCAAGTCCTAGGCTCTGTGGTTTAACCCACAGCGCCACCCGTGTCCTAGGAATGGATAAAAGCATGCAACAAGGGCATAGGTTTTTAGAATGGAAATTGCACCCATCTCCTTCCCAGCGTGGCCTTCCCCATCCAGATGCTTTGGACTACAACTCCCATCATCCCTGAAGGCTGGGGCTGATGGGAGTTGGAGTCCAGCATTATCGGGAGGGTCACAGTTTCCCCAGGCCATTTGCAACCCCTTTCTTCTGTCTTTGAGGGTATTCATTTACTGGTTTACAAAACCCAACCCACCTCTAGTTTGGCCCGGCCCAGTTTCCCAGGTAGCAATGGTTCTGAGTCTCAGAACTGGGAGGGTCAGAAAGAAATTCAGGAAAGCTGAGGCAATATATCAGTAGTGGGCAGGACAAGAGGCAAAAGTGGCTGGAGCAATGAATGTACATTTCACCAATGCTCACTTCACACATCTCTCTCTATCCTGGGAAGCGAGAGGCATTATCAGAGTTCAAGGACATATTCCACTGAGGCAAACACATTAAAGGAGGGTGCAAAACAGGGTGATCAGGTTTTGTACTAGAGGGTTGGAGGGCCACATTTTACCCCAGAAACAGGTTCTTCACTCCTGGTGTATGGTAAAGAATATTTGCTTAGTGCAACCCCTACCAGAGTTAAAAAAACCCCACAGATAGTGAAGCCAAATCCTGTTCATAGGTATACGAGCATGAGGTCATATAACTCAAATGTGTAATAAGTCCACGTGAGCAGTGAAACTTTAGCGAACTTGGGAGAATCTTTCCACTTAAAATCAGGCTAAAGGTAAAGGGACCCCTGACCGTTAGGTCCAGTCGTGACCGACTCTGGGGTTGCGGTGCTCATCTCGCTTTATTGGTTGAGGTACAGCTTCCAGGTCATGTGGCCAGCATGACTAAGCTGCTTCTGGCAAACCAGAGCAGCGCACAGAAATGCTGTTTACCTTCCTGCTGGAGCAGTACCTATTTATCTACTTGCACTTTGCTGTGCTTTCAAACTGCTAGGTTGGCAGGAGCCTGCAAAGAAGAAAGTTATTTTTCTTTTCTAAGGCAAAGTCTGATGCTTCAAGCAGCATGTTGGTGTGTTAGGTACCTAGGATGTACTCTGCTACAACCAAGGTACCGTATTTTTCGCCCTATAGGACGCACTTTTCCCCCTCCAAAAATGAAGGGGAAATCTGGGTGCGTCCTATGGGGCGAATGCAGGCTTTCGCTGAAGCTTGGAGAGCGAGAGGGGTTGGTGCGCACCGATCCCTCTCGCTCTCCAGGCTTCAGGAAGCCATCCGCAGCTTAGGCAGCCCTGCGGGAGTTCCCGCAGGGCTGTCTAGGCTGCAGATAGCAGCCTGCTTCCCGGAGCGTCGAGCGCCCTGAAAGCAGAGCGCCCCTTGCGCCGGACAGACATCCGCAGTGTGGGGAGCCCTGCAGGAGTTCCCCGCAGGGCTCCCCACGCTGCGGATAGCAGCCTGCCCCCGGCGGCGGGCGCCCTGAAGCAGAGCGCCCCTCGCGCCGGACAGATCCGCAGTGGGGAGCCCTGCAGGAGTTCCCCGCAGGGCTCCCCACACTGCGGATAGCAGCCTGCCGCCCGGCGGGCGGGGCGCCCTGAAGCAGAGTGCCCCTCGTGCCGGGCAGACATCGGCCAGCCCTACAAGCTCGGGGGACAGCAGGGAGGCGCAGCGCCGCCATCCCGCTGTTCCTTGACCTGGTTCGGTTTCCCCGACCTGCTTTTGGGGGGGGGAAATAAAGGAATTTTTTTCCCCTTTATTTCCCCCCCAAAAACTAGGTGCGTCCTATGGGATGAAAAATACGGTAAATCGAAACTTTCTTCTGTTATAGGGCTTTTGGGCTATCATGCTATCACAGCTAATCCAAAAATGGAACAGACGAACAGATTTTTAGAAACGCATGGCAGAATTATATACATATATTGGTCTCATGGAATTTAGCAGGATATCATTGCTGTGTCTCTTTAACTATTCAGCGTGATGTATCTGAACTGTGTTGCACATTAATTAAACTGAGAGGGGGAGTGGTGGGACAGATAGAAAGAGGTTTTATGCATATTCCGTGCCAGAATAAAGCACAGGATACCTCTACCTTTCAGTCTCAATCTAATGCCTTAGAGATGCAAATTAAGGTTCCCGGTCAGCAACTAGTTTGCTTGGAGGCCACTTGGAGAAAAACACCTCTCCTTTAAGTGTTCTGTTCTCAAGTTCAGTTACCAAGGCACCACTTTCTCAGCATCTCATTTGAACATAGGCAAATTTGCCCAGGAGCTGCTGTTGTGTGTTGCATGGAAAGGCCACAGAAGTTCAAGACATAAGAAAAAAGCGCGCAGTCTTTAGCTTTAGCAACCAACTATGGAACTCACCAATCAATAGATGTCTTTCAGCACACACACAACACACAGCTCAATAAGATCCACAAATCAGGAGAAGAGGCTAGGTCTCGTCCTGTAGAAGATCTGCAGTAGGTGGTATACTTCTAGGTAGAGTGTAATCAGTTGGCTCTGCAACTGGCTTCGAGTGGGCAAGACTTCATCACTGATATTTGAGGATTATTAGCAACGCATAAATTCTGAATGAAAGCAAAACTCTGCATTTGTTAAGGGCTTAACAGGCCGAGCCTGTTTAAAGCAGCTTGGCACTAGCAGCACATTTAAATGTGTTGACATGGAACAATTGCTCTCAGGGCGGAATCCTAAAAACCTGCACCTACAATGTATCAGTGGCAGATTGCACCTAGTCATATTTAATCCCATCCCCAAACCTGGTTTCACTGAAGCATGGCAAGGCAATTTTCTGAAGGAGATGTTTACAGTGAGGTTAAAAAACAGCCTCAGCCATTTACAAGTCAGTGTTGTATTGTGCCTCTGACTCCAAGCCCCAAGGCCTGAACCTTCATCTTATAACATCTTCTATGTAACTAGGCAAGCAGTTTCCTGCAAACTTGGCCATATGGTGATGGAACTTGCGGCACTTCTCTGGTGTCTTTCTGTGCTGTTTCCGATGTGGAGGATTTAGACAAAAGAGCATGCCAAGTGCAGCAGATGGGGACCTCACACGCAGCTGGGCACTTAACCCATCGCCATTCCGAAAGTGAATCAATGAAACAAGTGTGCAAACAGCTTTAGGCTATAGGTGCTTAGCGTTAAGAACTGCTTGTACTAATTCACACATGACCTTGCAGACTGGAAGGGCTCTCCCTTTTCAACCACTGAAAAAAGGTCAAGAAGACTTTTGGATGGGGTGCCATTTTCTCCACAAAGAGATTCTGGCAAGGGAAGCTTATTACCCAGAAACAGTCTGAAAGTTAACAGAAGTAAGATAATACAATCCTATGTGTAAGGAAAGGTGCCATTTTGACAAGAGTGACAAAGGACAAGAGGATAGATTTAATTGATGATAACTCCCCTGCCACTGAGGGACGCGGGTGGCGCTGTGGGTTAAACCACAGAGCCTAGGGCTTGCCGATCAGAAGGTCGGCGGTTCGAATCCCTGCGACGGGGTGAGCTCCCGTTGCTCAGTCCCTGCTCCTGCCAACCTAGCAGTTCAAAAGCATGTCAAAGTGCAAGTAGAGAAATAGGTACCGCTCCGGCAGGAAGGTAAATGGTGTTTCTGTGCGCTGCTCTGATTCGCCAGAAGCGACTTAGTCATGCTGGCTACATGACCCGGAAGCTGTACGCCGGCTCCCTCGGCCAATAAAGCAAGATGAGTGCTGCAACCCCAGAGTCGGCCAGGGGTCCCTTTACCTTTACTCCTGCCACTAACATCTTACTCTTAGACTGGTGTCCCATCCTGGTTATCAATCATATCTATAGGTAAAGGTAAGGTAAAGGTAAGTACCCCTGCCCATACGGGCCAGTCGTGTCCGACTCTAGGGTTGTGCGCCCATCTCACTTAAGAGGCCGGGAGCCAGCGCTGTCCGGAGACACTTCCGGGTCATGTGGCCAGCGTGACGAAGCTGTTCTGGCGAGCCAGCACCAGCGCAGCACACGTCCTGCTAATCATATCTATAAGCACCAGCAATTCTGGATTATACAGTGGGCCCTGTATTTACAATTGTTAAGAAGGGCATCTTCCCTGCTACACCAGAGCTGTTTGTTACCTTTTCGTTTTTCCTCTCTTCTGCCTTACAGGCTGTGTTGGTTGGGCTGCAAGTTCACCAGGCTACTGATGGGCCCGTTTCCTGCTTCTCCATTCAGGTTGACTGCAGTGACGTTGGGAGGAGTAATTGCTGCCGCCGCCGACGTGAGGGGAATCATGGGCCTGGCACACTGTGCTCCGGGGATGATGTGCACAGGGGAGTGGTGGATGTGTTGCGGAGAAACCACAGAGTGTGGCCTGACCACAGTGCTTGGGAGGCGGGATGGGGAGTTCTGTGTTCTTAGTGGTGAGACTGTAGCTGTGGGCCGGTCCTGTGCCTGCACAGAAGGGTGGACAACTGGAAAGAAAAGAGAGAAGGGAACAGTAAGGAAATAACTTGACTGGCACTAAACATGGTCAAAAACAGGAAGGGCCATATAGTACAGTCATACCTTGGAAGTCAAACGGAATCCGTTCCAGAAGTCCGTTCGACTTCCTTTTTTAAATATATAGATATATAATATTTTATTAGTTTTTTAACATATCATTTTCAACAGTGATTAAACATACTTTTACATCTTATTATTATTTTTTACTTCCATCAATCCTGTCTGAAAATTTTCCAATCTAATCTCTTAGTATGCATTTCTTATCTTCCCTATTACATTTCAAACTCATAACCAATATCTCTATCTTTTTCTACTTTGTAACACTTCGTATATTTCTCCTTACAAAACTTCTTGTAGTCCAGTCCGTTCAACTTCCAAAACATTAGCAAACCAAAGCATGGCTTCTGATTGGCTGCAGGAAGCTCTTGCAGCCAATCAGAAGCCGTGGAAGCCCCGTCGGATGTTCGGGTTCCAAAGAACATTCGTGACACTCACTTCCAGGTTTGTGGCATTTGGGAGCCAAAACATCCTGACTGTAGTCACTTTTAAAGGTTGTAAAGTGGTCTGGATCATGCCAACATTCCAAACCTGTCCAGTGTGTGGATTGACACGTATTAAAGCACTGGAAGAAATTGTACTGAAAATAATTCCTAATGTGGTGCATATAGTATTAAAAACAAAAAAAAAAACAAAAACTGTTGCAAGGCCACCGACTCATCTCAGAAGTATATTTTATTCCAGACAAATACTTTTAGGATCAAAGCAAAAAAATGAAAAAAAGGATATCACATTTAAAATCATGCAGATTTACTTGCATTTGAACATAGGAAGCTACCTAATTTTTAAAGTCAGATTATCCATCCACCTACCTGTGTATTTTCTGCACTTATTGGCTACAGGTCTCTGAGTCTTTCCACTACTTGCTGTTATATTATTATACTATACTATAATCTGAACCTTTTTACTGGAGATGCCAGGGATTGAATTTGGGACGTTCAGCATGAAAAGCAGCTGCTCTACTACTGAGCTGAGGTCCCTAGCATTATACCTTTGCCATTATAGATATTATTGGGCAGAGGCGGCTTTTAGGGTAGCGCGACTGGTTCTGATCGCACCAGGGTGCGACAAAGCAATGCAAGAAGGGGGCGTCTAGAGTCCCACAGGGCACTGCTGAAATTTGAGGGGCCAAAGTCTGCCACTGTATTGGGGAGTAGTTTTAAAAACCATACTGAAGATTCTTCTCCCGGTATTTACCCTTCATACAAACAGAACTATCAACCACAACAAGTTGTTTATCGCAAGGGAGTAACAAGCTATCTCAGAATACCAAGGATAAAGGGGTTATATACCCAGTTGAGGACTCAACATCAAACTCCCACATTCAAGCTCAAACACTGTCCAAGCAATACCGCTTCTAATATTCAACCGTGCAATCATATGTTTGTGTAGCTACTCAGAAACAAGCCCCACTATGTTCAATGGGGCGCAGGTAACTGCGCATAACTAGGAAGTCACCATGGTGCCCTCCAGATGTTATGGACTCCAACTCCCAACAATGATAATGAGAATTGTAGCCTGCAATGTCTGGAGGTGCAGAAGATGGGAACCAAAGAGCAACACCGAAATATGATGTGGCACCTCGTCCTTAATTCTAAGGAATTAAGTTATTTTCTCACTCTTCTGCTTCTCTGAGAAATAGCACAGCTTATATCAATTTTTTATTCGTTCTGCTCAGAACAAGATCTCTGTAGTCTACTAATTTCCCTGAAAATTCAGAGATAGCACAAGCTGCTCGACCTGGCATTGAGGCGGTCATTTAACCTCCCAAATCTACACTCTGGCACCGTTGCCAGGTGTTGAGTGTTGCTGCTTTTAAATTAAAAAAATTCTCGGGACAAATTAGATAGCTCTGCAGGATGAGAAAGCAATCTGTCAGCCTCAGGAAGTATTTCTGAAATGGCTCTGAATTGCCACAGGGATACATAATTAACTGTTTTTTTAAATTTACTATGCATTATAGTCAATGTTAAAAGCAGAATGAATCTGTACGCAGGTAATTATTATTTGAATCAAGAAAGCCATCTGGGAAAAGGTACATTGCGGAATGCATGTATTCTGTTTACATTTTATTTTCAATAAAAGGTAGCTGTATTCCAAGACCTCAGATTTATCGCTCGTGTTTGCCTTGCATAATAAAGACATTTCATCTTTCAGAGCCTAATAAAATGTTTTTAAAATGTTAAGTCATGCACTGCTTGTCAAGTGGATTTAGAAGCATTAACCTTCTCAGCATGCAGAGTGTTTTATGCTCCAAAAGGTATTTGTGTAAATATTTGTAAGCACCGTAATTGATTTCAGCTGTGGCAAGTGGACAACCTGATAAACAAAATTCAGTTCCCCGCAATCAATAAATACTACCCTAAACACTACAGGGCACATAAAAACCTTTCCTTATTGCATGCTGGGCTTCAAATAGAGCAGAATATTTTCAGAGGAAACCTACAGAGACAAAAGGCTTCCAAGGGCTTGTGCATCTGAGACAGAATACTAGATTTGGGGAATATGGATTGTTCAGACACATGAAGGACCTATACGTACCCATTTGTACAGAACTGCGGGGCTGGATGCCTGTCTGCTGAGAGGAATACCTCGAGCAATTATTCATCTGCGGAGAGGCTGTTGGCAGCTGGGGCTGAGTGGGCGGAGCGGTGATTGGAACAGCTGGCCTGACAACAGCAGCGGTGTTTGTAAGAGCTGGGCTTCCTGGGTGGACGGCTCCTGGAGAGCCTCTGGCTGTGGGAGACCCTCCTGCCAAATTCCTCGGCTGACCAGCTCCAGCAGGAACCCTAGAGAGAGAAAGAGAAAGAGAGATAGAGAGGGGAAACCAAAAGCAAATGCTCTGTGCAGGCACACAAGAAGACATCAAAGGCATATTCTTATCATCGTTTCCTGAAGGATAGCTTTGTTAGCCTGCTCTGCACCAAAGGCACTCAGTTGCACCTCTCAATAGGTTTCCCTGGCACATTGCTAGGTTTCTCTGGTGAAATCAGAGTTCATGCACCTATGCAAAGTCTGCAGGTTGCTGCAGATTATTATTATTATTATTATTATTATTATTATTATTATTATTATTATTATTATTATTATTAATGTGCTGCAGCTGTAAAAACACAATGTAATGGAATAATAATGATGATGATGATGATGTCATGCAAGACTGATGCAAGAATATTTGGAGAGACAAGAGTTAACATCAGGCCATTTGGTCTACGAAATTTTTCATCCCAGAAGCTAAAGCAGTATTTGGATCATTAATTTTAATCGACTAGCCAGTCACCTGAGTACCTCTGGGTAGGCATGCCTCTCTGCTTGGCTACGTTTGTCACCAAGGACTGCAAAGAAGTCTGAATGACTGCATGCTACAGAAATCATGATGGAATGAAGGTCGTTGGGTCTCTAAATTTTACAGGGTAAGCACATTGAGAGGCTGTAGCTTTGGGAGCAAAATGTAATGCAAAATGAACAACATGTGAAAAACCACCAGCAGCTAACAAATTGAATTCAATGAGTGTTAGGCACACCTAACTCTGCACTGCATTGCAACCTTACAGTCTTCCAGTAATTTATCTTGTTTAGGGTCTTTATACATGCAAGAGAAAGATCCAAACAGAAATCCTTAATCTCACAATTGCTCCCTTAAGCAGAAATAATTTTTGCAGTGCAAAAGGAATGCTGTCTTTATGACCTTTGGTCTTAAGATTATTCTCCTGGGTAACATAAGGTCCCTGCTTAATTGCAAACAGATACATTTTAATTGTTATAAGAACTAATATGCATGCTTGTTCCGTAAATATATGAATTAGAAAGTTGGAAGCTTAGGTCAGAGATTTAAATCAATCCCTTTTTCTTCTTTTTGGTAGTTTAACTTATCTTGACTTAAATATCAAAATCTTCTTTACCTGGGTGCTCAAAACCAGCCAGGTAAAGAAAAAAAGGGGAGAAAAAATTATCTCCAGCACCTTAGCTTAAACAGTATCATGGAGATAAACATTACAAAGATATATTACACTGCCTTGTTGAGATATAAATTGTTTGCAATTCTAGTTTCTAGAGAGTGCTTCAAGTATAAGTTTCCAGTTCAGATGTCATTGGAAATTGGTTTAACAAAGCAGGAAGTATCTCTGAAGATACACCTGGCTTGCCAGTAGTACATGTGAAAAGGACCTAGGGATCTTAGAAGGCCACAAGTTTAACGTGAGTCAACAATGTGATTGTCAGGTGATGGTGTGGTTGCTTGAGAGCAAACAGGCAAGACTCCAACCTGTCTTTTCCAGGCTTTATTATCTGTACAAACTATCTTACAGTGTAGAGCATCACAAGTCCATGTCTGCTCAGTCACTAGCAGAATCTGGGAGTGGGCGGTCCTTATACCTTCCCCAGCATGTGACCTCCATCCTTCTCCTCCTCTCTCTGCGCACAAACCTACTGCGCAACGTGGGCGCTGGCAAAGGGGGACTTGCCTCCCTGCCCCTTTGCTCAGGCTCGGTGTTGAGGCTCTCCCTAGCATCTTCTGATCCCTGCGTCCCTTCCCCACTGGAGGCGGAGCTTCCCTCCTCGCCAGAGGAAGAACTGCTTCGCAAGATCTTCGGAGGCTCCCTGTAACACAACTGCTCTTCCACCTCTCGCCTCTGAGCTGATGGCAGTTCCTTGACAGTGATGAAGCAGCAAAAAAAGCTAAGGCTATTCTAGGCTATACTAGAAGTATAGTGTCCACGTCAAGGGAAGTAATAGTACCACTCTATTGTGCCCTGGTCAGACCATTCCCGGAATCCTGTGGTGAGTTCTGGGTGCCACAATTTAAGAAGGACATTGGCAAGCTGGATTGTGTGCAGAGGGGGGCAAGCAAGATGATCAAGGGTCTGGAAACCAAGCCTTATGAGGAATGGTTGAGGGAGTTGGGTATGTTTAGCCTGGGAAAGAGGAGACTGTTAAGAGATATGAGAGCCATCTTCAAATATGTAAAGGGCTGTCACATGGAAGATGGAGCAAGCTTGTTTTCTCTTACTCCGGGGGGATTCAAGTTACAAGAAAGGAGATTCTGACTAAACGTCAGGAAGAACTCTCAGGGACTTAGAGCTGTTAGACAGTGGAACAGACTCCCTTGGCAGGTGATGGACTCCCATGGAAGTTTTTAAGCAGAGTTGGTTGGCCATCTTCCATGGATGCTTTAGTTGAGATTCTTGCATTGCAGGGGGTTGGAACAGAATGACCTTTAGGCTCCTTTCCAACTCTACAGGTCTATAATTCTATAGGTAGAAATACAGAGAAGGAAGCACCTGAGCTCATTTCCACTTGAATAAAGCATGGCTTATTGGACCAGGAATGTTACCTCTAAACTGGGTCACTGAGTAAGACCAATAAACCCTTTAGTCAAGTGCTATCTATCCTGAATGTAACCAGCAATCTAGGGTCTCTGACACGTACATAAAGTATGACTGATAGCAGAGTGATATACACCATAGCTTCTATCTCTCTCTATTTTAGGGAAACCCAGTGCAACCTGAAAAGAAATATATTCATATGCAAACATTGCCCAGGATATGTATGATTGCTCAGTGCCCATCTTTCCACTGTTTCTCACCTCGAAACAGGAGTTACGTAGTTGCCGGGAAAGACTCCAGACATGCCGTTTCTCAAAGACGTCCCTTTGAACCAGCCATCCTGACACTTCTCAATAACGCGATACATTTCACCCTTGCGTAGTTCCAGTTCATCTGTCTTCTGCGGCTTGTATGCATATAATGCCAAGTAGCTGTAAGAAAGGAATGACATAGAAAAGGAAGGTATGAAGTTGAAACACAAACATGTGACCTGATTCAGGCTGCATCTCAGTTCCCCCCAATCAGAAAGCTCTGTTTGTTATAAACGATGCTTCCTAACTACACAGGTAATTCCTGTGTATTCCTGTGAATTCATTGCAGGGGGCTGGACTAGATGGCCATTGGGTCCCTTCTAACTGTAAGATTCTATGATTAAAATGATGCAATAATCCAAAAATGCTACAAAACAATTACTAGAAATAATTAATAAAGAAAACAATTCCCAATTCCCCCTGTTTATAAGCCATGAAAATGCTCCTTAAGATGTTCTGAACATTTGTTGCATTGTACAAAACTGTCCTTTTCTACTAAAACCCGTGTGGATTTTTCTAGCAATAGGAATAACAGGAGTAAGAGGAGTTCAGTCCCAGAACAGATGAAAAAAGAAACACTGAACTACTTGTGACTATAGACTACAGCCAATAAATATGATGCATGGCTTTTAAAACTTCTGTTTTCCAGGAAATGTAATTTGAAAAATAAATCCTGCTTTCTTTCTTTATCCTTTTCCTTTACAGTGCCACGAATTCTTTTACACTGTTTTGCAGTCAGGAAATAAAAATGGCAGTAATTATTAGGACACTTACATTTTTCTAACAAGTCCTCTAGGTGCACTTTGGGGCTCAATTTACCATGTGCTTGCAGTATGGAATGTTCTGATCTTTTATGTGTTTATTTGATGGTAAACATGCGAAAGTACTGCAGCCATCCTCATTGGCCATACATGTGCAATGGACCACTCTACCATGGGCCATGCTGTCTGCCACTCCTGGGCGGCATGAACACACCAGACATAGAAATTAACACTATCTGCAACTGGCCAGTTGCCCTAGAAAGGGACAAACTGGGAATTTGCCTTGACGCAGGCAAACCAGCAGTTGCAGCTACTAAGTCACTGAGGAAAAGACGAAATGTGGCACAGGAGCGTTTGTTTAAAGAGCTTCTTTGAGCAGGTTGAGAGGTTGGAAGAAGGTACAGAAGGGGTACCAGCCCAGTGGAACTTGCACTGAAACCAGAAGAGCAAATGTACAACCCCTAGCCATGGTCCTAGCAACCTGCTGTGGTGGTTAGGCACTATGATAATATTATCTCTCCACTATATAAGAACTAAGTGACTTTGGCCTTCCACAGGATGACAATTTAACTGGTTTTGCCTGAACAAAGACTTGCAATGCCATATATAATAAACCTTGAATTGGATGAGGCTGCAAGTTACCTGATAAATGTTGTTGATTGACCAGTTTCAGCTGCTTTTCTTTCAGCACCTTCAATAAGACTTGCTACTGGGTTCATATCTGTACCCAGTCTTGTCTGTCTATTGACCATCTGTGTGACTGACACTTTTAATCATTGGTAGGGAAACTGTGGCTGCCCAGATGTTGAAAGGCACTAACTCCCATCAGCCCTAGCCACCATGGCCTATGATATTATGGGATTGTGGGATTTGTCGTCTAACAATATCTTTGCAGGTTCCCTATCCCTGTTTCTAGCAAAGATGGCTGTACCAACATTTCTAAAAACCACCTTTGCAAAAGTTGACCCAACCCTTATGCATGGATATGTTTGCTGGAGGTGGGGGCCCTGCTTGACACCTGTTGCGAAAAAGCACGGAAAAGCCATTCTTGTGCAGAAATGACCTAGATAAGGGGAAAAAATGTATTTATATTTCCTTGGAGCATGCTCTTGGCATAGTATTGAGATTAAAAGTGTTATCCAGCTACAAAGTCTCTGGACATGACTGCTTTTCATCACCCACTAGCATACACTTTGAGGCTGAGATAAACTATAAAGAGAGAGAGAGAGAGAGAGAGAGAGAGGAAAAAATCACCCTAGCACCTTCAAAGCGGCAATAAGATGACATTTCACAGTACGGTGGGCTGGATCTAGTTAACTGACACAGTTTTAATCTACAATATTCAGCACTAAAAGTTGCCTGCCAGAATTTCCAGATTTAACTTTGGGCCTGAGGGACTCAACTGTGACTGAATTTATAATGTTGAATTCATGGTGCTATGGTTAATGTCATCTCTGTAGGTCTATTATCAGTTTGAGACACAATTGCTTTGAAGTGAAGCCTGGCTCCCGGCCACAAAGAGCACGAAGGTGCTTATTTTACTTTCCCCTCTCTATATAAAATATTCTATAACTTGGTCAAGTGAAACAACGTAGGCAACTGGCTGCTAAAATGAAGAGAGGACCTGCCTTATATATATATTTTTAGGGATGAAAGATGGGGAATTAATTGCTTATACTGCAAACTGAAACATCTACAATTCTATGATTTGTACAATTATACTGTTACCTGTACAACTGTTACTATCCAATTATCTTATCTGGCGTGGTGTTTCCTTGCCCATCGATGCAGTTTCACCACCACAGCAAATTACTATGAAAGCTGAAGCTTAAGTGCTAGAACATCTGCTTTGCAGGCAAAAGGACCCAGGTTCAGTCCTTGGTCGTGGGTGGATCCCTCATCTGAAACCCTGGTAAGCCACTGTCAGTCCGTGTGGGCAATAGGATGAACCAATCGCATGACTACAAGGCAGATTCCTATGTTCCAACAGATAGATGTAGTTCTCTTCTAATACAAACACATTAAGGCTGCATTCAGAAGTCAAGCTTTGTGCAATGTTCATCATGAGCCATGGCTTCATCAAATAGCCTTGTTTCAAACAAACCAGTTAATGTTTATCATAGTTTGCTGGCTCAGATGAAATGATCTGCTAAGCCAAACTGGGTGCAAAAGAAACTGCATGGGAGGAGGAGAGCAGAGCACACTGATCAAAGGTTCATTGCAGCTCATTCACAGTGGGCTAAGCAACAACAGTTAAGTCTGAAGATGGCCTCTGTCTGAATGCATCTCCAGGTAGGGCTGGGAGACAGAGACCCCCGTTTAAAATTCTTATGCTGCCGGTCAGTGTGGATCAGTGTTTCCCAAACTTGGGTCTCCAGCTGTTTTTGGACTACAATTCCCATCATCCCTGACCACTGGTCCACCTAACTAAGGATGATGGGAGTTGTAGTCTAAAAACAGTTTGGGAAACACTGGTGTAGCACAATTCAAAGTGTAGGTGCTGACCTTTAAAGCCCTAAACGGCCTCGGCCCAGGAGCGTCTCCACCTCCATCGTTCAGCCCAGACACTGAGGTCCAGCTCCAAGGGCTTTCTGGTGGTTCCCTCACTGCCAGAAGTGAAGTTACAGGGAACCAGACAGAGGGCCTTCTCGGTAGTGGCGCCCGCCCTGTGGAACGCCCTCCCATCAGATGTGAAGGAAATAAACAACTATCTGACTTTTAGAAGACATCTGAAGGCAGCCCTGTTTAGGGAAGTTTTTAATGTTTGATGTTTTATCTTGTTTTTAATATTCTATTGGGAAACCCAGCCAGATGGGCAGGATATTAATAAATAAATAATAATAAATTATTATTATTATTATTATTATGCTCAGCTAGATGGGCCAATGGCTTAGCTCAGCATAAGGCAGCTTCTTATGTTCCTGATTATGGACATTCTAAAGACGTTGCGCCCTCATTGAAAAGAGAAGTTAAAAGCAGGGTAATTTAGTTTCCCGAATTTCTCCTTTCGGCAAAGCAGATTATGAAATTCAGATTTATTTTTGGAAATATACATCGGGCCCACACTTGGGTTTCTGTTTCAGCAGTATAACTTATGTCAAATACATACAAATATAAAACACATCCATTATGAGATTTATTTAAAGTTATCCCTGATAAAGTCAACCTCTTCTTCTAAGTAATAGTTAATCAACCTGAATCATCTTTTGCCTAAGCTGAAGCTTTTTGCACATATGATGTTAATGCTATGTCTTCGTTATTCTTTTTCTACTGTGCACAACTGGGTGAGTGTGTGTTTTTTTCATTCTAGAAACCGTGCGTCCTAACAAAGATGGTCTCAGGTGTTCAGTTGTACAGGAATGTAATGGTTTAATTTGCAGGAGCAGATTTCTGCAGCTGATAGCCACTCAGCCGGCTATGCAATGATTCATACATCTGTAATAAATATCTTGGAAGCTAAAAATGGGCTATATAAAGAAGGTGACCTGGCCTTTCGCTGTTCATTTTTCAGCTCTGGCAGAAGGCTGGGTTATGTTCAAGACAATGATAACTACATGAGAAGTGTTCCTGTCGCAGAGCTATTATTTCAGACGGCAAACAATGAGAGACAAAATGTGCTGCGTATCCTTAAAACAATGTTCAGTGCAAAATGGAGGCTTACATGTTGAGGGGCAGCTGGACCTTTGATGGTGTTCCCTGATCTCCAATGATTGCACTTGTTCTGGGTCCAGTCATGGTTGCAGTTCCAGCGAAAGTAGAATCCTAGAAACGAAAGAAAAATAGAAAGAAATGAAAACAAATAATTTCACAACATACTTAAGACTTGTTCAGGAGTTAGAGCTGCTCTCTCTCTCTCTCTCTCTCCCCCCCGAATCCCAAAGACTTTCATTGGCATGGCTGCCCTAACCATTGACATCCTTGCAATGTTAGCTTAATGTTATGGGCCAATATCAATAAAGAGCTCTTTATACAAGGCTTCCAGATGAATAGATTTCAGATAATTCGTGCTTCGAATCACTCACAAACTGGTGACTCACATACTCCAGGTTTGGCTTGAAAGGCAGAGCTACTATTGTTCCAAAGGCAGTGAAAGTACCTCTAATCCCCTTACAATTACCATAAGTACTTTTTGAAGGCCTCTCTGGTTGATCCCTGCCATTCATGTTCCTAGCAACACCTTGGCACTTGTGTACCAAGTCTTCCCTGGTTTGTTTGTTAATTTTTATTTTTCGCAGTTTCAGGTCTTGCTGCTGGTGGTAGCTGTTTTCTTGGTGGCTTGTGGAGAATAGCAATGATCTGCTCACCTGGGGCTCTGGGGGAGCGGCATTTACTGCATGGTACAGCCACGGTTGGTCCAAGGAGGCCGCCATCTTCCTGCATGGCTGGGGGAGGGGAGGATCACTTGGCACCACCTTCCTCTGGCTGTGTTGGACCTACATGCAGGCTGACATCCCTGCTGACAGTTGCAGGATTTACTACCAACCCAGTCTGTTAGGTGTCGGCTCAGTGTAGGAGCGGGCAAGTTGGCATATGGACCTTGCTATGGTTTACTCAGTCACCATATCTGGAATTTTCTCCTGCATGCAAACTGGCCAGCTTGCAAGCTTTCACCTACCTCATAGCAACTGTCACAACTTTGATGGATAAGATATTGGGATCCTCAAATGGGATTCAGCAGGGGTGACTGTCCGGGAGTCCACATGGGGACTGATGGGCCAAAACACCTCTCCCAATGGCACCCTGTGTGGGGTCGTGGCATGTGGTCCATGTCGTGGGCAACTCCCCAACACAGGGTCGACCCCACTGGGTTCCTATCAGACAGGATGCAAGCTGCCTGATGTTAGATACATGCCCAATGCCTTAGCCAAACCTACTCTTATCTATAATCAATAAAATTGTGGCCTAATTCAACCCAGTACCAATCTGTGTTCATTTCCTTGGTCTTCCCTGCACCGGATGTGGACATCATGAGTCTGTGGTGGCAAGGGAGTGCTCATGGAACCCCTGTGAACACGCAACAGCCAATGCACCTCCTAAACATTGATGTGCTGGTGCACCTTGCCTTGTGGCTGATGTATATTCAACTCAACAATACATATTTTGCTTTACAGCAACTCTTTTTTTTTATTACCTTAAGGCATGTTTGTTTAGCTTTAACACATTCTAAGAATATATTTCTGGCACAAGGAACACTTGATTGTTCACAGCAACGATTATAGCTCAGCTGCAACCTGCCCAGCAATCTTGGCAGTCTTGGAACTTGGAAAGCAAATCTTTGCGTCTGCTTTCAAGGACCTGCTCAATATCTCTATCACAGGAGCAGCATTTAATTTGAGAAGTCGCATCGTTTTCCTGCTAAATCGTTTTCTTATTAGCCCTGTGTGATAATAATATTTTACATGTTTGTTGAAAAATAGATTATTGTCATTTGCTTTGTTCTGAGTATTACTTTTTTTTAATAACTGGGACTGCTCATCTCTTTAGTGAAAAGGGATGAAACACAGAGCAATGAAAAAATAATTATGGTCATTATAATACAGTTTGTATTGAAGTTTATATTGCTTTCCATTCCGAGCATATAAAGCATTTTCATAAGAGAAGCCAGACAGAACTTACAACTGGGTACAAATATAGATATAGTTTTCTATGGATTCTAGTGGCATGAGGCTACCCAAGGGCACAGGATAATTTCTGTTGTTATTGCAACAAGAAAGAAGGTAAAAGCCTGTCTGAGTATAGCAGAAGGAAGAAATTTGGAAGTACTTAAATCCCTGGAAGTACTTAAAAGTAAACCCTGTGCTCCATTCATCAGAATTCAATCTATCATCTGTGGTTGAATTTGGCCCTATGGTATTAAAAGTTTCCAAGGTCTTGTATCTACTTGAAAGTGGCGGGTTCACTTATTCAGCTATTAAAGAGACCTTGGATGGAATATATTTATAAATCTCCCCTCTTCTTTATGAAGTCTTGTGGGATTTTTTCAAATCCACGAGTTGGAGGCGCATTTCATAAGCTGTGAAGTGTGACAAACTTTTAATGCTTCTTTCCAGCTCACCGTCTAATAATCTTAAAACTCCTATCAGTCATTTACTTAGCTGGTGCCAGCACCAGGAAGTGGCGCAAGGGCAACGATGCAGCAGCATCTCTTTCATGCTGAGCCTCGGACTTCTCATTCCGTATGTGTTGTTCTCCTAAGATCAGAGGCACGTGGGCAGTGCATAAGAGCAGAGAACTTTGCAGAGAAGATTTCGGAGGGAGGGATACATTGGGCCTAAGGCAACCTTATCCTAAAAAAACAAGCAAGCAAACAAAAACCCTCAAAAAATGTAACCTGAAACAGCAACAATCTTCATGTGCTGGAGGCAGGTGCGCGCTCGTCACCTATCCTTATATGTAATGTAAAGTGAGACATGTTTGCTTCATGCGTAAGCCTATACGCAACACTGCGGAACTGTTCCCTCTGGGCAGGGGGGAAGTAGAGAAAGATTGTACCAATCAGACTTTCCAATGTGTGGATCTTTGTGGTGTTCCCATGGCAGGAAGGCAAATATGTTCAGCCCTTCAACACACAAAGACAACTGCCTGATCTGAGACCATGTCAAGAGAACCTTAAAGGTAAAGGTAAAGGTACCCCTGCCCGTACGGGCCAGTTGTGACCGACTCTGGGGTTGCGTGCTCATCTCGCTTAAGAGGCCGGGAGCCAGCGCTGTCCGAAGACACTTCTGGGTCACGTGGCCAACGTGACGAAGCTGCTCTGGCGAGCCAGCACCAGTGCAGCGCACAGAAATGCCATTTACCTTCCCGCTATAAAGTGGTACCTATTTATCTACTTGCACTTAGGGGTGCTTTCGAACTGCTAGGTTGGCAGCAGCTGAGACCGAACGACGGGAGCTCACCCCGCCGCGGGGATTCGAACCGCCGACCATACGATCAGCAAGTCCTAGGCACTGAGGTTTTACCCACAGTGCCACCCGCGTCCCTTGGATGCCCCTAAAAGGATGTTGGTGCCACGTTGCATCCGACAGAACAGAATAAGAACCCTTGAGAGCAGGGGCCATTTCAGTGGCAACTGCAGTGTGCTTGATTTACAGGCTGGAGGTGCTACCTGACATGCTTGTCATTTATTCAGACGTCTCTTCCTATCTGATGTCAAGCGCTCAAGGTGAGTCACGTTAGCCTTGTTTGCACGTAATACTAAGGCAAACCATGGCTTTGGCATGAAGAATAAAAAGAAAACGTGCAAGTTTCTGGATTTAAGATTGCAGCTGCAGTGTTGGGCTGCCTGGGGCTAAGACATATTTTGGCTTAGTGTTATGTCTGAGCCAGAGCTCAGACACGTTTTACTTCCAGCCTGAATTTTGCTTTTTTGAATTGTTTTCTGCAATTTTTGGGGAGCGGGAATCGCTAAAAAAGCAAGTCTTTTTGTTGACACATGGGAGCTGAGCACAGTAAGAAAAATACCAGTATAGGTCAATATTTTTGCAAGTGGGAGGGGGGAAATGCTATTGTTAATGCTATTAGTGAAGATACCACCCAACAACTCCTATTCTGATTTCAAAACAAATTCAACAGAATTTCACAGCAAGGAACTCCTTCTCATATTCGTTAATGAAAGGATTGTGTCTTTTAACGTATGGATTATATAGCTGTATCTTATTTTTCAGGAGAGAGAGAGATACACTCCGATACACACATACAGGTTAATAATATGCCATCATCTGGGAATAGCTGAAGTAGAAAACAGGCTAATGGTCCTTGAGATTCATGCTACTCATTTCTGTCAAATCCACTGACTATAAAACAATGGGTCATGCAATCACTCCAGGCCTTAATGTTCTTGGAAATAATGTGAAAGCACTTAATTCATAGTTGTGTTACCAAGTATTGGCAAGAAAGAACTACAGTCAAGATCAAGTATTCTCATCAAATGTTAATTACCAAAGTGGGAGGTAAAACATCCAACAGCTCCAGAATACAGCTTTCCATTTAATGGTGCCATATATTTTAAAAACACCCCTATATATACAGATAAACATAATTACAGCTGCAGATGGGCACACACCATCTACTTGTCTGCTGCGGAAGGTGATGAACATCAATCTCTCCTATGGATTTATTTAGCCTATAAATTATTGAGTCATCTGTGGCACTTCTAACCCTCCCCTGCACCAGCAGGCAGCCGAAGAGGTTGGAGAATAAGCTGTGTTTTCTTGTAGCTGGACAGGAACATCACAGTGGCTCAGCAATACCCAGGAACACCAGTTCCATGATATAAGAGTCCCACATGGCTACAGGGCCTGATGAAGCAGTTGCTACTGTCCATGTAAGTTTCCACCTTCTTGTGAATTCTTCCCTTTAATTTGGATGTTTCCTACTTTCCTGGTTGTATGCTACACTGCCCTGATAGGAAAGCATTAGGCTGTCATTTCAGTGATCCATTGAAAGCAGCGATGGTTCTATGCTCCTATGAGCAATTTCCATTGTGCCCACCTTCTGTATAAAGAATGCCACTACGTCCTTAAATTTAATTTGCTTGGCAGAGGGCTGTACGACTATTTGACGGATTTACTTGTTCACTTCCAGATTGGTGCCTCAAGTTATAATCGGCAACGTTAGGGCTGATTCAGACATTCAAAGAAACACCCCCGCCCACATCTGTCCTGAGGGATGCATTCATAAGAAGAACGAATGTGTGACCTGGCCGATCCAAGTACTCAGAACTAATTCTTATGAATGTGGCAGCTGGAACATGTGCTGAAACA